CCCCCCCCCCCCCCCCCCCCCCCCCCCCCCCCCCCCCCCCCCCCCCCCCCCCCCCCCCCCCCCCCCCCCCCCCCCCCCCCCCACTGAGCGACTTTTCGGCCGGCGCGATTTTTTCAAGTTTTCGGGAGCAAAATATTTTGGGCCAGATTTTAAACCCCCCCCCCTCCCCTTGAAAAAAATCCTGCGTACGCCCCTGGACCCTTGTATCATTCGGGAGTGATAAAGTTCCTTCCTTGATTGTTTTGCCCATGTGGTTTTATAGTCCAAGCAGATAACCTTTGCTATATCAGCAGTTCAAAGTCTGAAACAAAGTCAGTTCACAGAATCTAAACAAGCAATCTGAATATATTGTGAATTGAATATCTCTGAATTGATCAAAGAAATAAAATGTAAAATTTCACGAGAGGAATCAAAATTAACTCATGAGAAATTTTTCATACATTTGTAATATATTGAAATGGAGAGATATCAACAAAATTAGAGAATACATCTGTAAGAATTTATCAAATAAATCTTTCCATGAATTCATAGAAAAAACTTGATCGAAAGTTTAGAAATCTAAATAAAAGTTTGAGATAATATTTTTTTTTTAAAAGATAGAATGAATATTAATTTAATTCATTGGAAAAGGCTCAACAAATTCATTGAAAAATATGAAGAGTGTATAAATTATAAATTATTATTGGTAAAAAGTGACATTTCTATGGAACCCTTAATATTGTGAATAAAGTTTCCTCTATAAAGAGGTTATACTTTACGTTATGAGTTTTTTGTTTAGAGTACGAGTTCGGACAGCTTGATTAGAACATTGTAAAACTATGAATGGTGGCAGCAGTGGGATGTACAGTAGCATATATAGGAAATGTGTGAAAGTAAATATAGAATAGGTTTCAATGAATTTCTAGATTGGTGCTAATGAGTTCATTGAATAACCCTGCATTATTTGTGAAATCTCTTTACCACATGCAGACGACTCTCCTATAACAGCAGTGACTACGTCCAGCTGGCAAGAGGTACGTATGAAGCATGGGGAGAGGCCGAGAGAGAATCTGGTATCCAGCTAGTATACAAGACCGGTGGATTAGACATAGCGAAGAAAGGCACAGTGGGAGCCCAGGTGATTGAAAAATACGCTCAGGCTATGGATGAACAGAATGTTCCGTGAGTTGATCTTCATAAATGATTGTGCAGTGCACAACCATGATGATACATAGTTGATGTGAAGATAATAGTTTGTCTCAATGTAGTAGAAATATATATATATATATATACGTATATATATATATATATATAAAATACTAATATAATATTACCAGATAAGTATATAATATTACCAGATATGTATATAATATTACAAGATATGTATATAATATTACCAGATATGTATATAATATTACAAGATATGTATATAATATTACCAGATATGTATAATATAATGTTACCAGATATGTATTTAATATTACCAGATATGTATAATATAATATTACTAGATATGTATATAACATTACCAGATATGTATATAATATTACCAGATATGTATATAATATTAACAGATATAATAATATGTATATAATATTACCAGATATGTATAATATAATGTTACCAGATATGTATATAATATTAACAGATATGTATTACCAGATATGTATAATATAATGTTACCAGATATTACCAGATATGTATAATATAATGTTACCAGATATGTATATAATATTACAAGATATGTATATAATATTACCAGATATGTATAATATAATATTACCATATATGTATATTACCAGATATGTATATAATATTACCAGATATGTATATAATATTACAAGATATGTATATAATATTACCAGATATGAATATAATATTACAAGATATGTATATAATATTACCAGATATGTATAATATAATATTACCAGATCTGTATTTAATATTACAAGATATGTATAATATAATATTACTAGATATGTATATAACATTACCAGATATGTATATAATATTACCAGATATTTATAATATAATGTTACCAGATATGTATATAATATTACCAGATATGTATAATATAATGTTACCAGATATGTATATAATATTAACAGATATGTATATAATATTACCAGATATGTATAATATAATGTTACCAGATATGTATATAATATTACCAGATATGTATAATATAATATTACCAGATATGTATATTACCAGATATGTATGTAATATTAACAGATATGTATAATATAATGTTACCAGATATGCATTTAATATTACCAAATATGTATAATATAATATTACTAGATATATATATAATATTGCCGGATATACATGTATATAATATTACCAGATATGTACATAATATTGCCAGATATACATGTATATAATATTACCAGATATGTACATAATATTGCAAGATATACATGTATATAATATTACCAGGCAGATATGTAATAATATTACCAGATATGTATATAATATTACCAGTAACTAAACTTTTCCCCATTATATTTCACATTTGATGTCTTGCATGGGAGGAGTAGATAGAGCAGTACATAGAACCCTTCTCCCAACTTCTTGACAGAAAATTAATCATCTAGATTTATCTTTTACCATCTCAGATATGAAAGACTTGAAGGAGAAAGAGTGCGCCGAAAGTTCCCTCAGTTTGATTCTACCCCTGATTGGACATGCCTCTACCAGAAGGACTCCGGGCTAGTTGATGCTGCTATGGGCAACGCAGTCCACATACAGCTAGCCCAAAAGTATGGAGCAACCATCGTGGAAAACGCTGCAGTCATGAAGCTGAAGAGGCATGGAGACCTAACTAGGGTAACACCAATTATTAAAACCTATAGTCTCAAGAACTGGTATTCGAGATGAATTTTGAAAGAAACTTGCTCTTAGTAATTCTAACATAGTCATCATGCAGAAGAACCCCTTGCTGAAAATAAAGAGAAGACCATAAAGTTTGTGCTTGGGTGGGGATTATTAGCTTTAGTTTGTTGTATTTATTTGCTCATTACTCAGTAAAACCAGAAACTTTAGTGTGCATGTTATGTTTAAACATATCATGAAATGTTCAGATGAGCAAACGTTTCATTCAGCAAAACAATAAAATCACAATGGACCAAAACTGAATACTTTGCAATACTTCAAAATGTCTTGGTGTAAGATTGGCAGCTAGCCCTTAAACACAATGCAAATTTGTGTCGTGATCGGGATTCCGGTTTTACAGTATCATGCATTTCCTACCAAATACTTTTGTAGATCAAGTCTCAGAGAGTCGATGCAAGTTTCCTTTGATTGTGTAAGAATTAACTTCCTGTCATTTGCACAATTGAAAGATTACATTCAAGGTCGAGCAAAAAGTGGCAAAAAGAATGACCTTGAAAAGTAGGTTAATTATGTTGAAGTTGTGCTGTGGTGTCAAATGTGAACCCTGACTGACTTCAATAAAATAAAGGAAATGTTTCATGAATGTGTCAATTCACAAAGGGTTCAGTCTCTCTCAATAATTTGCGAACAGATTCAACGTATGTTCGTTTTTATGTGTATGTTTTTTTTTTTTTTAAACATCAGGTTTGCACAAGCCAAGGTGACTTCCTATGCAGGAAGGTGATACTGACTGCCGGAGCATGGATGAATGATGTTCTCTCTTCCGTTGGAGTTAAGATACCCCTCACTGTCACGCAGGAACAGGTCACTTACTTTGGTACTCCTCACATGAAAGAGTTCACAAAAGATAGGTTAGTTAGCCAAGTATGGATAAGAGGATGGATAGATAGAGTATAGATGGATTGTATTTCTTCATTCTTTTCTCTTTATCTTCATTTCCTATCTTTCCTGATTTTTTTTTTTTTTTTAATCTTCTTATATCTTTTATTTCCGTATTCCTTATGATGCATATTACTACTTTAAAAATAAATCTTCTATCATTTCCTGTTTTCTTGTTTTTTCTTTTTCTTAAATTATCTCCGTCTATAGCAAAATAACTTTGAACCTCATTTTGTTGTTATGTTTGTCTGTTTGTTATTTTACGCCATATTGCCTGCTTCCTTTCAATGATAGATTGCTTTAAAGTTACTGCTTAATATCCTCATGGCCTCAAATAAGAAAGCATGTTTAATTGCATTATGCATGAATATTTTGTTCATAAAAAAAGATATTAACATTTTTGTTAATCTGATTAATTTTCTCTTTTCTGAATGTTTATATTGTTTAAAAATCAGAATCATTCATTAGCAAATTGGCCATTCTAATATGTATGAGGCCATCATGATCTTCCCCTATTCACTAATGTACTATTGTCAGAGCTGCCAACCATAACGTTTTTTCCCCGGAATTATTCCTGTTTTACTCAAAATTATGGTAGTACGTCTTTCGTTTACAAAATAAAGGTAATGAATTCCTTTTTTTTTGGCTTAAAATTCCTTCTTCTTGCCATTATGGTTTCCTTTTTTGGTTGCACAAGGATAGCAGGTCTGTATTGTAGGCCTTTATATATAATTATTGTGTCGAAATTATACCCTTTTTTGCCAAAATGAACATTGTTGTTTTTGCGCCGCTTGCTCGATCATGACATTTGTAAATCGGATGGTTGATATTCATGCAATCACGATTCCTTGCCTCCTTCCCCACCTTTATGCAAGTTATTATTTTTTTGCTTGCTCACTTTGCATGCCGGTGAAATATATAAACAGGATGGTTGATATCAATTGAGCCCCCATGGAAATATGCCCATATATATGCCTATGATTTCAGTGCTCCCATTCACATTTTTATAATAATAATTCAATTCAATTCAAAGTTTATTCAATACTCTTCATAAAAACATTTAAACATACAAATACAGAATGGAGTTATAAATATAAAAAGACACAAGAAAGTGATAACAAATACAATGGCAATTTATAAGAGCATTTGGGATAGGCAGAAAGGAGGGAAGTTCCTTATATAAAAGCCTACCCCTAAAATCACACATACATGAAAACGAGAACAAAAGAACAGAACAAAAAACAAAGAACATATTAAAACTTACTATCATGCACGATCAGAGTATATAAAAAAAATGTCAAAAATAATAATAATAAATAAGATTTATAAGGCGCCAAATCCACTTGACAGTCAAATGCTCAAGGCGCAGCTTGTGCAAAAGATGAAATAAATGATACATACATACAAAAGTGCAAGAGGAAAGGTACAGACATGAAAGGTAATGGTAATCAATTATAAGCTAGATTAAACAGATATTTCTCAAGATGGTTTTTTTAACACTTCAGCAGAACTGCTATTCTTAATCCATTGAGGGAGAGTATTCCATAATGAAGGCCCAGCATGGGCATATAAAATGGGTAAGACTAAGATACACCACAGTCGCCACTGGTTTTACCGAAAACGATTTCGAGAGAATTACCGCTATTAAAAACACAATTTTTGTTTTAAAAAAAAATGATTTAAACAAAACAATACAATTAAAACAATTAAAAAAACAATTTGTTAGTTTGAGAAAAAAAATTTAATCACAATCCTGGTCATAAAATTTCACTGCATGCACTTGTAATACTACGCTTCTAGTCAAATTTGCGAAAGTGAGAATTGCATGGATGGCGTTGGCATGATCGATGACTGCATACATGCTGTGGAAATGCTCTCATGTTCCCTTTGCCATTCTTTGCATGCAGATGCCCCATCTTCATATATCACACTGGTTGCGGTGGTGAGCCCTATGCCCTACCTCTCCATGGGAATACCGGATTTAAGATTGGGATTGATGCTGGGGGACCGACGGTAACGGCCCAGTCAAGGACCTTTGTGCCAGACCCGGTCAGAGAACAAAAGGCTACTGATTATGTGGCTGAGTTCTGTCCACGGGTAAGAAACCCTGGGCTCTCATGTAAAATTACAAAATAGTCCTCCAGCTTTGCCATGCTTCTCTCTTCATTCATCACTGCTTTGCGCAAGCATCAAATATATATATATTTGCCCATGGAATGTACATGTGTATATTTGTTTGCATGGATTAACCCATTGCTTACTGGAACCTGGTGGTCCCTGTGTTAAGCCTATGGTAATTAGATAATTCAGTAGCCAACGGGTTAAGTAGGCATTAACCTATTGACTGCTGGATCTTTCATTCCCATAGGCTTGATACGTAGAGGTGCACCAGGTTCCTGTAAGGCAATGAGTTACAGGGTTTCCACCTGACTTTCGCTATCAATTTGGGGGGGGGGGGCATTTATTCATGGCATCCATTATATAGATGTAGAGTAAACATACTTAAATAGCCTTTGGCAGTACTTGTCATGCATTGTATAATTCAGGAGGTGTCAAAGTCCTGTTATATCAACATTACAGTACACATGCACATCCCTCTGCAATGTTGTATTATCTAACTGCTGCTCTCACTGTATACATATAAGTATTTTCTTTCTAAAATGCTTACATTGGGTTCGACAACTACAAACACAAATTCCATTTTACATGTGCCGTGTGCTAGCATTTTGCTTATTAGTTTTACTTCATTAATTAGGTTTCCATGGTTATCAGCTTTGCAGTTCTCTCTGACAGAATATTTCGTTGCTAGCAAACTCAACTTGATACAAATATTGTGTATCTTTATCCAAATGTTGCATTATGTTTGTGTCAATGAGTTCTCACACCAGAGCTTTAATTCTACTTAATTCATTTATAAATTGCTTGAGTGCATTGTATGCATGTAAAACGTCAAGTTATACTAAGTTACTTATAAATTGATGTAGTAACTTTAAAATATTTCTTTTAATACTTACCCATGTGCTGAGCATTTTCTTTTGTAAGTAGGCTTAAAAATGTGTTTGCTTGCATAGATTCCCCGTTTTTAGCTACTACTTGTATCACAACCACTCAATGTTTTGTGTACCGATACATGGTAACACGGGGGTAAAGATTGGAATAGATGCTGCTGGTCCAGAGGTTGGACCCAACTCTAGATCTTTCACTCCTGATCCTCAGAGAGAAAGGGAGGCTACTGCCTTTCTTGCTCAACATTGTAAAAGGGTGAGTCCAGGTATCCAGCCAAGCTGCATGAGGAAGAAATATGATAATAAAATTATTACGCTTTTATGTAGCGCATTATCATCAACGATGTCTCTATACGCCTTACATTATGATGTAATAAATGGAGTTTTTTTTCTCATTTGGACAAGTACACCATCACCGTCATCATCATCATCGTATTCACCTTTTCCAATGAGGGATTGATTTGTTGATTCATTTATTTATTAAATATTATCCTTTTATTTCTTCATTTAGTGTTGCTATACTACTGCTAGAGGCTCCATCAGACACTTGTTAACAAAAAGGCCCAGCACAAGAAAATAATTCAACATAGGCAGTGTAATATTAGATAAAAACATTACAAGAACAAAAAACAATTATAGCAACAACAAAAACATTTTATCTGTTAGTCGAAAATGATACACAAATAAAAGACTCAAAGAAGTTACAATCCATTTTTTCCCCAGTGTGGGATTTGATTTTTGATTTCCTTCCTGGCAGTACATGTACATCTATTCTAACGCAATCTGGGGGTGTTTCACTAAGCTCCTAAGTCGAACTTAACTCTAAGTTGGACTTAAAAATTATGGAGAGTCGTTTGTAGCCTTAAAATAAAATATATTAAAAAGTGAAAATTCAAGTATTTTAGACTTTTTATAAATTCCACATCAAGGACATTAAATCTCCTTGATAAAAGAAAATATAAACGATTTGAATCAAAATGTTCTTTTTTCCAAAATAACTTTTACAACAACAAAAAACAGCTTTCCGTTATTGTTAAAGGGAACCAAAACCTTTATACTAAGTTACTTTTATTGTAAAGTTTAAAAGATTTGAATAAAATCAGTGAAAATTTGAACAAAATCGGGCAAGGAATAAGGAAGTTAGAGCTTTTTGAAATGACTAGTCACTAGAGGGCGGTATTCAATTTGATGACATCATCTGTGGACAACTCTCCATGCCTTTTGTACATAAAATTTCACAATTTTTTTTGTTTTAGTTCTTGATCCGACTTCATAACATGTGAAGTAGAATATCATTTTGCATTCTATATCTTGCTTTCAGGGGAGTAGATTATCTCAATCACAAGAAAGAAGGAAAAACATGAAATTTGATGTACAAAAGGCATGGAGAGTTGTCCAGAGATGTCATCAAATTGAATACCGCCCTCTAGTGACTAGTCATTTCAAAAAGCTCTAACTTCCTTATTCCTTGCCCGATTTTGTTCAAATTTTCACTGATATTTTTCAAATATCTTAAACTTTACAATAAAAGTAACTTAGTATGAAGTTTTTGGTTCTCTTTAAGTCCAACTTAGGATCTTTGTGAAACACCCCCTTGTCTCCAACATGGTTTAGCAGTCTCAGACCTTTTGTCTGTGTTTTGTATTGCGATCTTGGTCTGGATACTGTGGAATTCCACACTTTATGTAGCCACATTTCTTGCCTACCGTAATATTAAGCGTTCCTATAAGTTCTACTGCCACATCAAATCTTGACCGATCTTGTCATCAGACTTAAAGAGATTTTAAAAAACCTGTACCTGGTTGGAATCTTGTGCATCTTATCAATTTTTTCTCCCATCATGTTTCATATATTATAAATGCATGTTGCTCATTCTTCTTTTAACATGTGAACATAAACTTGTTTTAAGTTTTCCACTCATCTTTTTCAATGTACCTTTTCAAAATTCATCTGTGTGTTTGCTTCATTATGTACTACAACCAGAACCAATAAAACATTTATCAGTACCTTTAAGTTGCATGGTAGACCAAAAGTTGTTTTTTTAATTTGCTTTGATAGATTCCCAGTGGGTAGCTTCTTTTACTTCAAGCATTCCATATACTGTGTTCCAATACATGGTAACACAGGGGTAAAGATTGGAATAGATGCTGCTGGTCCAGAGGTTGGACCAAACTCTAGATCTTTCACTCCTGATCCTCAGAGAGAAAGGGAGGTTACTGCCTTTCTTGCTTAACATTGTAAAAGGGTGAGTTTAGATGAGTTGGCAGTTGGCTTAATATCTGGCCAAAATGATGAAAATTTAGGACAGGACACGTTAAATATACTACTTGTGTGCGTCAATAATCAGTTTACAAACTTTTGTATCCAAAAAAGAAATATATGTCCCTTCAACATGTACAAATTTATAAAAATTCATGCTCACATAACTTTCAACAATGCTATTCCACATGTTGCATGTTCGTAAAAAACATCTTTTCAATCTCTTACCATGCTTTTATAACATTAAACTTCATGCTTTATCATGACTTATCACTCTTTAGTATCTATCACTCCTCATTTGACATTGTTGTATTTGAATTAGGGATGACTTTCAATGCGTTTTTTAATTTTTTTTAAGACCTTGATTACATATTATGTAACTTAACCTTATAGAGAAAAAAATCTTGCAATTGTGATACTCAGCATGTTTACCAGTAAATATTTTTCAAAGATGACTATTTAAAAAAAAAAGCTTTATTGGCGTTTTAGGCAATATGGGTGTACCACAAGGATCTTTTGTTGGATCTGAACTATTCAAAAAGAAAATGTTGAATAAAACTGTGACAAAAACTCAAAGAAGAAAATATTCCTTATATACCTTGGTGAATGAATAGTTGACAAAGTTTTTACTAGTGTCACCTCCAAATTCTGCTGTTTCATGTTTTTGAGCTGCAAATGTAGTTCATATTTAAATATAAATTTGTCTTCTATTAGCTGGCCCTGTGAGCAACCCTGTACTCAATCCAAAAGAAGTTCACTTACTTTTTTTCATGAACCCGGGCTGCCTTGTTTGCAATGTCATGATGATTCCACTGACCCATACAGTCCCTCATAATTTAGATTTAAATGATATATTGATTTGACATATTTTCATTCTTCAGGCCCTAGATCTAATCATCTACTCCAAGACTAGTGCTGTGAGCTGGTCTTAATCTGGGTCACCTCATTTTCAAGACAATGTACTATATTCTGAGCCAATACCTCTTGCGAGTGTAAACTGTTCAATATACTTTTAGATATTTATGTACATATATTATAACTGATTATTATTATTGTTTTTATTTTATTGAGCATTTCAACATACAAAAGAAAATCAGCAAGATAGAAAACACATACAAACAAAAAGAAAAGATTAATGGATGTTGACTGTACATGCCTAGGTTGCCTGGGAAATGAAAAAAAATAGGTAAACTAATTACTGTAGCCCTCAGACCTTCCACCCGGACCTAATTGACATGTATGGCAACATCCACAAAATGAAACAACATAGCTTAATTAATATGAAATAATGATAAATGATAATGATAATAATTTGAACAGAACAGAATAATCAGTTACATAATCATCATTCTGTAATGTATGTTCAAGTTGTCTTCTTTCAGCGAACCCATCAGAAGCATCTGGCTTTCAGAGAACTTTGACTGGTCCCTCCGTATATGTAAATTTAAACATTGATCTTATATCATTTTATTATCAGAAGAAAGTAATATGTGTTGAATCTTGACTCTTGAATCATGAAAGCTTAACATTCTATATTTACTGGAATTGTAATTTAATTCTGCAGGCCCTAGGTCCAATAATCTACTCCAAGACCTGTCTGTACGCCATGACACCTGACAGGAACTTTGTGATTGATAACTGCAGGAAGGTGGGCCATCCTGATGTTATCTTCTGCTGCGGAGCTGGTCACGCATTCAAGTGAGTGCTGCATCATAATTAATCCAACATTTTGCTCTGTGCCTACTTTGTCAAAAAGTGTAGGGTTAGGAACTGGGATGGTAGTGGGGTGGTGGTGTGGGGGAGGGGGAGGCTTGGCAATGGCTTGACCATGTTATTTCAGTCTCCCATGTGGTTGGTTTATTTTCCTTTCAGTCAAAAAAGGAGACAGACAGAAAGAGAGAAGGAGGAAAGTCAAAGATGGCTACTATATTTCTATTCTGTCCTTGTAGAGTGCATACATGTATCACCCTTTGATTTAGTTTATAGATGCGCTTCCAAAGGACTTTGGATATTATTGCTCAGGTTTACCTCAGGCATCTGTAGCACTCAGTGAAATCAAGAAATAAACCCTTACAGGTACTTACCTAAACACCTGTGTCAGGTGTGGCAAATGAAGATTAATGTATTGCCAAAGGACGATGGTGCTGCGGCAGGGATTCCAACCATGTACCTTGTGGTTCACAGTCTAGAGACTTGTCCACTAGACCACAACACATGAACACGGATTACTCCCCCCCCCCCCCGCCCCACCCCCTCTCTGCTTTCCCTAGGACTCCTCAATAGCTAGACCTTGGCTACACCAATGGATGGCATCACGGCTTTAACCCATTGCCTATAGGAGTCGGGTGATAAGCGTGTGTGAAGGAAAGAATTCAGTAGTCAACAGGTTAAGTTGATACATCGAGGGGTCAGTGACACAAAGACGCTCCATTTTGGCCATTTCGAGAAAGAGTGGTTTATGTGTCATTGAGCACTTGGGCCTTAAGGACTTAATTAAGTCTATGTTTCACTAGTCATTGACTTCAATGGGGGTGTTGGGTGGAGTTAGGTCTTTGTGTTTCCTTGAAAGCCCACATTTTTCTAAATGTTTTGATATCAAATACTAATTTTGGCAAAATATGGAGTTACGTCTTTGTTCACTGAACCCTCGACATCTTTTTTTTTTTTGGCAGATGGATGCAATTCTTGTGTTCTCAACTATTTATCATTGAAATTAAATGTTCCATTGTATACAGGTTTGCTGCTGTTCTCGGCAGGATCTTGAGTCAGCTAGCCATAGATGGTAAGACGACCTTCAACATAGCTCCTTTCAACATGGAGAGAGAAGCCATCACGGACCCGAACTTCCCGAAATCTTTCCAGCTAGGACTGCCAGAGGAAGAGGTGGCTAACGTTCATTCAAAGCTCTAGAGACAAAGAGCAAAACAGACCATGGTAAAGAGAAGTGATCAACTGGTAAAGAACTGAAAAAATATCTGTATAACTTCATTGTTAAAGGTCTAATTAAATGTTTTCTTGTACTCCTTTTATTTTCCATGTTATTTGTCAAACTATGAGCTTGATTATGTACATGTATTACAAAATGATCTTTTTTTGATAGATATATTGCTATATCATGCTTTTGTATAATGACAATGAACTAACTATGCACTGTATGCAGCCTTATTTTCTGAAGAGTATTACTTCCAGATGAAAGGATAAAGTCTTGAAGACATTAGAACCATCCTCTTGTGTAATCCATTGTTATAAAATTAGACCTATATCGGTATTGATCGAGGATGAATCAAACTTTCTCTAAAGCTGTATAGTGCATTAATGATCTATCCAGTTTGTGTGTTTGAGAATGAGAAAATAAAACAATAAATGTGTACAATGGCTAAAACATATTTGTGTGAGAAGAAGTATTATCATATGAAGTGGAATGGAAATTTTAAGCTATTGGATCTCAGGAATTATATTGAAATACACTTGTACTAATTAGGTGGTCTGTCACAGTCTGGCACAGCTGCTGAATATGGGTTTTCCAGCCGTTTCATTCATACTCATGTATATACTTGTATTGTATGTTATTTTTTAATCAAACATGGAATAAATACTACTACTACTACTACTACTACATGGTCGTACTTCAGAAAAATACTTATGAAGTCTTCATATGTGATCAAAACGGACATGAACAGCTGAATTGTGTCATAATAATAATAATATTTAATATTTTTAAGCGCTTTGCAAATATACTTTTCTGAGTATGGGCATAGCATAAAGAGCTGCAAAAGATATTTTATGAGCAAAGCAGTTTCAATGTTAATGCTTTGATGTGTTTTGTACCAATCACTTACAATCACTTTCATACTAAAAAAAAATCACACCTTTGGACAGTGTATGAATAGAAGTATGTTCAATTATTGTCCTTTTTTTTTACACACATTTCTATTTTTATAGTAAGATGATAGGAAATCTTGCCCATGCAGCATCCTTTTGAATTAATGTAATTGCATATTATGAAGAATTATGACAATCATATTTAGTTACATGTGCAGTTTTGAAGTGCTACTATAATAGCTTAAAGTATTATGATACCGGTACAGTGTTAACTTTTAGGTGTTAGGTGAATCGGTGTGTTTTACTGCAAGGCTCTGGCTTTTTAATGCACAATGTTATTATATAATTATGACTTCGTATTTTATGAAATTGATTAATTATATTGAATGAACCTTATCCTGAAATATATGATGTATTTGATACCCATACCGATTGTGAAGTCTTCCGTCTTTTGTAATCCAATTTATCGGACATAATGGTAAATTAATAAGATTTTCTTCATAAACTAGAATCATTGGTATTTGCTATTAGGCCTTTAAAAAAAATGTTTTGTATTGCCCTTTGCGACCGACCCTAAAATTCTGAAATCGACGCGGGTCGGCTTTTTAAAAAAAAATTGTAAGTTTGTTACCGTTTTTTAGAAAAACTGAGAAATGTCAGCCCAAAAAGAAAGTTAAAAAAAAATTAAAAATTCGACCGACCGACCCATGTTTTGGCACCTAAAGGGCAATACAACATTTTTCTTTTTTGTGAGGCCTTAGGCCATTAAAAAAAATATACATGTTTAGCGTCCCCGCCCGCTTCCTTTTAGGGGGCCGCCTCCTATTTTTTTTTTTTTTTTTTTTTTTGAAGAAAAAAAAAACATAAAAAACACTGCAAAAATGGCATCTATTTCTGATTTAAAAAAAAAAAAAAAATGTCGGCTGCCATCTTGAAAAATAGCCCGACTGTCAGGGAAAATGTACCGAGCGGCCATTTTTAAAGAAAAAAAAAGTGCCTCCTCCTTCCTATTTTTCGAAAAAACAGGACGCTAAACATGTTTTTTTTTTATTTGGCCTTATTGCTACATTTTGTTAGAAATAAATCTCATGTCTTGGAAAGGGGTGGACAGTGAAGCCTGTATAATTATATAGACCACTCAAGTGAGACAACGACAGCATTTTTTTTAAGTACAGGTTTCTTACATATATCTTTCTTGAAACACAGTTCCAGGGAATCTAACAAAAAAAGTATGCTCTTTACTAGGCAGTTGGTCTTTTATACATGCAGTATAATGTAGTTAAGGCAGGTTTGACTGTGTGAGAACATGATACAAATGCTAAAAACAAAAATGGTGATTTGAACTGAACAGTATTATTTGTAATTCTATTTCTATTTTAAAAAATATATATTATGTCTAAATAATTGTAGGTATAATGTATTTTTTTATGAACAGTGCTTTCCGGGAATGGCGTGTGAATAATCTTTTTACCTGAAACATTTGCATATTATATTTTAATTTTGTTATAGCATATTAATTGTTTTCAAAGCTGGTGATATGCAAGCCATACAAATAAATGTTATAATGTAATACACTCTCTGAAATGACTTATTAAGTGAAATGAATCATATATCTGTTTTGTAGCGAGTTTATGAAGGAAAAAGCTGCCATTTGAAGGTAAATGAGTGATATAATTAAAGTGGTAGAATATGATGAGGAGAAATGAAAAAGGAGGAATGATAGGGATATGTATGTAAGAAGAATATTTTAGTCCTAATTCTATAAAGGAGTTATGATTTATTGAAATATGCTGTGAGAGAGTTGAAACTAGACATCATATTATGTTGCCAGATGGTGAAATGAAAAGATACAGCTTGTTGAAATATCAATTCAACATAAATGGGAATGACTATTTATTATTACTGCAAGGAATACGTACATTGCTTCATGCATAAACAAGGGCTGTGATCAAAAAGTTATAGCCAGGTTCACAAAGCTAAAATATAGGCAATTACATAATGCCTAATGAGTTCAGACATCTTAATGTGAAACACTTTAGGTAAACTTTATCGAAATGAAGAGAGCAATATCTGAGCCCTTTTCATTTAAAATAAGCATGATTTGAGTGATGCTGAATTTTGTAGAGTACAAACAATTATAATCAATACTGACAACTATTAATTGATACAAAAACATAGAGTTCCAGTTTAAAAGTTTGCATGATATACTCTGTTCTTTAATTACAAGCTCTTCAAAATGTATATAATACCTTCTCCAGAATGTACCATGTATGGCTGCACAACTTCAACAACTGTAGAACATGCACCGGCTGTAATTATGTTCAAATGTTTTGGAATGAAAACAAAGTTTGGTTATTTATGTTTGACTTGCAAATTCCTCTCCAATTTTCTCTTTAAATAAAATATCATCAACTTTTATTTCCTTCGGTATTGATGATGGACTAGATTTTCTCCATACAGCTAGGGATGTATAGAAACATATTTGCCATCTCAATATTCAGGGTGCATGTACGATTGATTATTTCATTGAGGGGAAAATTCCTAAAAAAAATATAGACACCACACGTACGTGCCCCTCCCCTTGTTTCATAGACGCAGGCCATGTTAAAGGGCAAGTCCACTCCAAAAAATAACTTACTTTCAATAGAAGCAAAGAAATCTATCTTGTCTATCCTTAATTTTGATGGTTCTTCTATCATTATACACACAACGATAGTTTATCATAATTTTTTTTAAATATATAGATATTACGTATTTGTACAATGTGTGACCAAAACACATTTCCGTGTATATTCTTTTGAATTTGGATGAATAAAAAGAATCGAATTAAATTGAATCAGACAAACCAATCAAAAAAGTTTGAGCAAAATCGGATAACGAATATGAAAGTTATGAATTTTTAATGACATGAAAAACATTGAAAATCACAAGATAAGTTGGCAACTCACTCAAAGTCTTTGACGTCATTGCCTCACTGTCCACTAATTGTTTTCTTTATGTTGATAATATAAATTTTCCATTTCCTCCCTAAGAATCTAATTCCTCACACCAGCATCCCAGTTATATTGATAGTAATGTGTTTTGTATATGGATGCACTAATATAGTGCAATTCTTGTTCTCAGTTAAATCATGAAAAATGTGAATTCTGAGAAACCATTTATATATAAATCAATAATTATGAATATAAAATATTCAGAAAATAATATAAATTCTTCAAAGTTCATAAAAGATTTTGTGAAATGTCATGCACGCACTATGGCTGGGCAAAGGCATCAACTTTTGGGGATAATAAGTGAAATTAATGGGATAAAAATATATGGGCCTAATTAAACAATAATATTGATATATAGTGAGGCAATGACGTTACAAACTGATAACCGAATTGGCAGCTTCTGTACTGAACGATTTTCATTTTTCCATAGTTTTTCAAAAATTCATAAACTTCCTCATTATTATTTTATCCGATTTTACTTAATTTTGTTTGGCTCTGTTTCTTTTTTTTTCCGCTTCTCTTAAAGCAAATTATTTTTCAATCATTTTTGTCAAGCTTCCAACATACAACCAGGGCATGTGAGTTTCACCTCCCTGATACAACAATATACAAGAATAACAGATAAAAAATTAGTCAACTTTAACAGGGTAACCCACGAATAGAAAGCTCGAGAGCTTATTTCCAGTGGGGTCCCGACATAGCCTACATGTACAAAATTAATAAGTTAAAATTATAGTAATATTATCAGACAGATAAGAAAAAAACTTATTCAAGATAATAAGGATAATAATAATAACAACATTATGTACAAGAAGAAAAAAAAGACGAAAAAGAAAAAGAGGAGGAGGAGGAAGAAGCCCGGAAAAAAAATGAGTAGACTTGACCTTTAAGTGGATAACACTCCGTCCCTCGGATAGGACGTTAAATCAGGCGCGGATCCAGGATTTCTTAGGGGAGGGGGCCCAACTTTCTTATTTTTTTTTTGCTCCCGAAAATTTGAAAATCGCGCCGGGCGAAAAGTCGCTCAGTGGGGGAGGGGGGGGGGGGCCAACCCCCAAAAAGGTAAAAATCACGTGATTTTACATGATTTTTTTTTCTCAAGGGGGGGGGGGGGTTATGCTTGTAAGCAACCAGGGGACCTATGGCTTTAAGTCTTCTGAAAGGTAGTAAGGATTAATGCCTTACCAACATGCATGTTAAAGGTAAAGACAAGTTATGGTCATGCGATTGCATTGTGAAAGAAACGTTGTGGAATCGATCAGAAAAGGTTGATCATCTAGCATCTAGCATCTGCAAGGTTCTGGAATCATCAAAATGATAAGAAATTTGGCCCATTCTTCGTAAAGTTACAAGCACTATACACAGAAAGATGTATATGGGACTACCCTATATCTCTCACAGACCATGAGAGATACAAATTTACCAAATATATGAATTAGTAGGCGGTTTCCCGGCAAATTTTTTTTCATCATGTATTAGTCAAAACATATTCTTTCACATGATTGGTAATGAGAGCTTCCATTTCATTTTTTAAAATTGGGGCGTTTCCAATACTGGTCTTTACCTTTAAGAACCCACTCGTTTAAAGCCCACTATTGAACTGCACTACTTATAGCTACTTGCGCCCTATATATATAGGGCGCAAGTAGCTATAAGTAGCTATATATATATATATATATATATATATATATATATATATATATATATATATATATATTAAAAAAAACTGCTTTGTTTGGCTATCACAAAACAAAAGAACATAAAAGCCATATTGTGAGAAACCGAAACCAAGTTGGCAAAACTCTGTATACAGTTGGCTCTGAAGCTAACGAGATCCAATCTCTATACTCAGCATGTTGCTATGGCAGGAATGTACAAAATCATGTAAAATCACGTGATTTTAGTAGTTGGCGGATAAAGTTATGACTGTCTTGTCGTTGGTTTCTAGGAACGAGCCCCTGCAAATTATCTTGAAGAAGAAGAAGGTGATTAGTTTTTCACTATCTTAAGAGCGCCCTCTACGGTAAAGTACAAGTACAAACAGTGCACAAAGCAAGTCGATAATATCTCCTACTTTTCAGTATTTAGTTCTGTCGCTAGTTAGTGGAAGCATATTTATCGGCCCTTTTTAACCATTGAAGACACCTCTTACTCTTAGGACATCCGGTACACTTTCGGTAAGTTTTTCTAAATGAACCTGTGAATGAAGTTATATTCAGATGTCGATTTATTCGATATTATTGTTTTTTATACCACTCCACTTTGTATGGAGCTATCTACTGTCTAACTCCAGCGAGCTCCCGGCCGCCGCCGCCTTGGGCGGGCGGGCGAGCTACCTGGGGTTACCTACTGCCTAACCCCGTGCCCTTCAGCTTCACGGGGCGGGGCCAAGTGCTGACATTCCGCAGATGAGGGGGGGGGGGGGGGGGGGGGGGGGGGGGGTCTGAGCATCTGACATTTGACTTAAAATGGACTATCATTTTCTATCATATTCCCTAATATCTGATGATATCATTTAGACTCTAAATCCTGATAGTATTCTAAAGAAGTCGGTCACTCGGTCTCGGTTTGCCGAAAATATCATCCAATTCAAGTAGAAACTACCGTAGGTCTAAGTTAGTCTAATAACTTCGTTGGGCAAGTCATTTATGAAGATGACAAACAGAATAGGCCCAAGGACGCTCTCTTGCGGAATTCCGCTCTTCACCGCAGTCCATGTAGACTCTAGATGTCACTCCATTCATAGCTACTCTCTGCTTTCTACCTTGAGGAAGGCTTCAATCCAGGAAAGTAGTGGATTCACAATTCCATGAGCTTCCAGCTTAAGAAGTAGTCTTTCATGCGGAACTGCATCAAAAGCCTTTCTGAAATCAAGATATAAAATTTCGATAGGCTGATTGTCGTCAAGAATCTTAGACCAATCCTCCATTGCCCACAGAAGTTGTGTCATACATGATCTACCATTCACAAAGCCGTGCTGACATTCCGAGAGGAGTTCGTTTATATCAAAGTATTTCATTAGGGCATCTCTAATAATACTTTCGAGCATTTTTCCGATGACTGATGTTAGAGTAACTGGTCTGTAGTTCTCTACTGCCTTCCTGCTTCCTTTCTTATAGATTGGAGTAACGTTTCCTTGCTTCCAGTCTTCCGGAAGTGATTTCTCCTCCAGTGACCTGTTGAATAGGACTGCCAGGGGTTCCGCCGTTTCCTTGGATATTTCTTTCAGCAGTCGGGGGTGGATATTGTCAGGTCCAGCTGATTTATTTGCATTCAGGTTTTTGAGTTTCTTTTCCACTGTTTCTGGGTTTGTTGTCACTTTATCGATGCAGGAATCGTTGTTTAATCTGGTCAATGTTGGTAGGTATCCAAGGTCCTCATGAGTGAAGACGCTAGCAAAACGGACGTTGCCAAGCTTCGGAAAAAAATTACTTCAACAGCTCGAATGCAAAATATGAGCCTAGCTCAGGCGGGTAACTTGCATGCATTTGATACTAGAGTCTACTACTAGTACTACCCTAGACTATAGCGTTATCACAGTTTTTCTTTTTGCCTTGCGGGTTGCAGGGAATAATTTTCCTGGTATCGCATCGCAATTTGCTACGCATTTTTGCATGACTGCTATACAAAATACTGTTTGTGTAGCAGTTTTCTTCCATAGAAATGTACAGAATTTCATTTGAAATATTTATCCATCAGCTGAAATTGCTAATCAAAATATTTGAGGAAAATTATTCCCTGGGTTGACTAGAAGGGATGAGATTTAGATGACGTCATGCGCAGCCATAGTTTAAAATACGGCTGCAAGATTTTCAACATGGATGTCGATTTTGACCCATAATTTCCTGTAAAGGGACCATTAAATGCAGTATTTCAGTCAAGTTGGTAAATAATAGCCTAGACCCCTCTAGGCCTAATTCATATGCAGAGCTAACAAGTATCACGCATAAGGCATGACATCATGCATTTCGAGGGTCTGAACTCTGAAAATGCTCTTACGCACGACGTGCGTACTAGATTTTGAAAAAAACGTTATACCCTCGCACGCCGAATCATGAAAATGTCACGCATTGCCGATCTTTGAACTTGGCGTCTCTGTACATGTATATGCATCCGGTAAAATATGGGCATAAGTTTGGTGGTCAGATCCACTCCACCAAATCCGCATAGGAGCGCCTATGGTCAGCTTCTGTCTCTAGAGAGAGGAGCTGACCCTACCCAAATCAGAGGCTAACAAACGAAAGAGACTGACATTTTGGTCTCTTCTAGATCTAGATGATGATATTACGAAAATATAAATTAGAATTTCGAATCTAGAATCTAGATCAGTAGATGTTTAAGAGTATTAAGAACAATGTCATTTTCACAAGAAAATGCTTTGCTTTGGCTTTGCCCTTGGCTTTGGTGTTGATTTGACATTGCAAAAATCATGAATCAGACAATTACTTGGACTTATTTGGATGTAGATACGTAAAGCTTAAACTAGCTTATTTGCCCCTCGTCACATTGGGTAGTCCCTGATATTATAGGGTGAAAACTTGGGTAGATGGGTTTTCCAGTGCCCCTCATCAACAGATTTGAACATGTTAACACTAGTGACAGAAACTGCAACCTCTGGCCTGGTAAAGCATTCCAATTATTTAATTTTTAAACTGAGCCATCCTTTCTCATTTAAGGCTGTGAAAGATCTCTTAATCATGCCAACTTTTGGATTAGCCCTTTTGGCAACATTAGCTGCATGTGCACTGAAGGAGAGAGACTTATCAAAGCGAACTCCTTCTCTTTTTCCTCAGACTTAACTTCTCGAGGATCATCTTCAGTTGTCATTTGATACCCGAAGTTCTGATTACTTCGACTGTAGTGTGTACAATTCGACTTTACTTTACTAAATTGAAGTTGCCTCAAATTTGCACATTCCTTAACTGCATTTACATCGTCATGAAGATCATCCGCATCTCATTCTCATCAATGGTTAAATATGTAATGAGTAGAACAAGCGAACGCAAACTTGTGTAATTTCATCCTTTTTCCAACTGCAAAACTCCAAATACAGAAGACATTTAAAAAAAACACGCATCTGCCAACTTATACATGTAGTTATCGAAGATTGTACATCATGGATTAAATAACTGGGCATTAAAACACGCACAATTTAGCGCATTATCCTGAAATGTTGAGTTTTTGTCAGGATCTAATTTTTCTTTTAACAACTCTGGCACACAAATTATAGGAAGGGCGGAGTACTAAATTGGAAAAGTTGTTTGATGCACTATTCCCATACATTCCCCGTATAAAGTTTATAATTTACACTGAAATTTCGCCGGTAATTTGATATTTTGTTATAAATGTGAAACTGGTGCATGGCCTCCGGAATTCCCAGCAGTGGAAGCGCGGTTCGGAGGATGGAACTTCAAAGCCAAGTGGAATGTTACACATCCCATTGTTACGCTTAAGAACTCACGAATGCGTTTGAATAAATTTACAAGAGTTACCACTCCTTTCTTTCACCTCCCTGGTTAAACAATGCCTTTTAGCCTGTATAATGTTATATTATGTTTTTTTTGCATACTACATGTAATTTTCCTCAGTCACTATTATTAATGCAGTTACATGTACATGCAAAAGTCACAAAGTAAGATGCTGAATGTTGTTTTTGTTAATAAATCCTTCTAGATTAAAGATCAATTTTTGGGGGTTTTCTAATAAATTAAATGATAATGTCTAATTGATTGATTTATGTTCTCTCAGAAAATTTGATGGAAAGGATTGATAATTATACATACTATACATGTATGTCCATGTAAATGTAGGCCTACATGTACAGTTGTACTTGTAATATCAATCTTTGAGATAATGTAAGCTGTTTACAGATGCTGGTGATGAGATGAGTTCCTGTGCTGAAATCTAAAAAAATTCTCCTACTTAGAGGTAAAGACCAGTTTTGGAAACACCCCCCTCTCAAAAAATGAAATGGAAGCTCTTACCAATCATGTGAAAGAATATGTTTTGACTAATACGTGATGATACAAATTTTGCCGAGAAACCGCCTACTTATATATATCTATTTGGACCTGATAGATATCACGCATGTGTCGCGTAGTCCCATATACATCTTTCTGTGTACAGTGCTTGTAACTTTACCAAGAATGGGTCAAATTTATTATCATTTTGATGATTCCAGAACCTTGCAGTTCACCCCAATAGAGTGGTGAAGTGTGACGTCATCAAAAAATCTATTTTTAGAATTTCTCAATTTTTCTTCATATTCCTAAAGAACATCAAAAATAATGTCCAAATGTCGAAAACCAATTGAATATGCTAAGTATTGGCTGAGATATGACCATCTGAATGAATATATGTCCTATGGGAACTCAGTGTTATATGCTCTGGCTCCTAACCATTAGGAGCCAGAGCATATAACACTGAGTTCCTATGGGGAGTATATTTATTCAGATGGTCATATCTCACCCAATGCTTAACATATTAAATTGGTTTTCGACATTTGGACATTATTTTTTATGTTCTTTCGGAATATGAAAAAAAATTGAGAAATTCTAAAAATAGATTTTTATGACGTCACGGCTTCGGTACTCTATATGCTAGATGATCAACCTTTTCTGATTTTAAAATTCCACAACGTTTCTTTCACAATGCAATCACATGACCATAACCAGTCTTTATAAAGAGAATATAAACACATCCTACTTTCTCCTCCAGATTACACAGTTTTATTCTTTCAATTAAGATTTTGAAATGCAGTCTAAATATTTGAATGAGTTTGTGTAAATACAGGTCATGCAGACCTGCACATTACAAATATTTGCACATGTCTGAAGAACAGGATACTTAACCGCAGTCGGCTTGGTTCAGTAGCTCTAACTTGTTTTCTTTTGACACAACAGGCCATTCAAATTGTATGCATACCTTTGCTACATGTAGGACTTATAGTGCATTCACCTGTTTTATGTACATGTATATATTTCAATATCGTAGTCTGAACTCTGAACGCAGATTTTAAGCATCGCTTTTAAATCGAACAAGTCAAAATGTTTGCCCAAACTAGCAATGCATGTACATACATGTATATGCATTCAAACTATTGAATGGCATACAAGTACATTAACATGTTCATGTATGTATTACAGCAGGGAATAATTTTCCTCAAATTTTTGATTAGCAATTTCAGTCGATGGATAAATATTTCAAATGAAATTCTGTACATTTCTATGGAAGAAAACTGCTACACAAAAGATATTTTGTATAGCAGTCATGCAAAAATGCATAGCAAATTGCGATGCGATACCAGGAAAATTATTCCCTGTACAGGTACATGAACTATAATATTTCATCATTACGTAAACATGTATAAATTAATATGTACACATGTACACTATACGCTCTACGAAAAATGGCCTTAGAGATCTTGGTTGTATACTGTGCAGTTCGTGTAGACGTATAAAAAACTTGAGTCTGCACAAAAAATATTCTGTAGCAAAAAAAAATGGATAATTTATACTATTGAAAAAGTGAGAGTTGCTAGTAGCTCTAGGCATTCTTTTTATGGAATCAAACAGATTTTTTCTATTCATATACTTTTACATAATATATCCGTATTGGACATTATGACATACAATGTAGAGTTGTATGACATAGTCAGTTATTTTATTTCTTTTGATATTGATTTGTTCAAATTAATACATCATCCATTGTAACTGCAGCCAATCAATAACGACAAGTTAACAAGGTTTTTACGGGAGTGTTCTTTTATTCTTTGGTAGGAGCGTAGCTTCCTTTCTTTGACTCCTTTCTTTTAACTCTGTTCTTTTCACTCCGTGAAAACTGTGAGAAAACAAACAACAAAAAATGGGCATTAATTAAAATGCAATAATAATTACAGGTTCCTTATCCATGTAATAATTACAGGTTTCTTAATACAAATTTGGGCGTGACCCATAGGCATTATACCAAACCTTGCCATTTACTTAACCTTACTATTTCTTTGTGTTTCCTGAATAGTCTTCACACTTCCTTAAATTAATACAACTTAAGTTCTTATACACAGATTCATCAACATAAATTCTTATACATGGGCACCTGCCTCAAAGTTATGGCATAAATATCATAATTATACACATATTTCCCACAACTGAAACACTGCAAGCTTAAGTACTGACCTTCTTGCCTCCTTTTAGTCAATTAACTTGTCTGCAGCTAAGAATATGTTGCAATTAATCATCGATTTCTCATTGTTCTTCATTGATCATTGTTTGACTTTGAAACTCTGTCTATAAAAGTCTGTCGCCGAAGATGGCGCTCTAACCTTTTTGTCGACTAAATCAAATACACTTACATGGCTCCTTTAAATTAGTACAACTAATTTACCATAATAAACTATTTGACATACCTGCGATAATTCTTACAGGTTCTACAGAACTAACATTTCTAACTTTGTATGTATACAAAGCACATCTAGAAGTAAATGTAATGCATCTAGCTGTACTAGCTTCAATCTATAAGTTTAACTGGTTTTACAACTTATAATGTTCAATTCTAATCCTTCTATAATAGACGTTCAGAGATCAAGAATCTAGACTAATCATGCATAAATTTGACTCTGTAACCAAAACACCATCCATGTATAGTAATACATGACTTCAAATTTTGTTTCAAATTAGTCTTAGCCCTTAATCTTAAAAATTATTTTATGCATGTATAAATTTTGTTAAATAACATTAACTCCTTAGTCTTGCATCAGACACATAGATATGATTTAATGAGCATCACCCTTATGTCTACAATTCATTTTGCAAACAAATGAAATGTCACAAGGTTCCAAGTCTGACTTCAGACCCTAGTAAGTTTACACTGAAATGAATAATCTTAAATATAGTCTCACTTGACTCTTAGATGTAGTTTTCATCTCAGACACAGATATACCTTTACTAACGAGGGAATAGTTTTATATTCCAAGTTGACCTTTTCAGAAAATAAAGCATGTTTAACCTTAAACATTTCAATTTAGTCTTACATCCAGACTCTAGCATTATGATCAAACCAGTATACATATACATAAAACAAAGCGGCATTTAGAAAATTGAAGGTATTCTCCCTTTCAGACTTTAGAATTTTGGTTGAAATCACATTTATCAAACACAATGTCTGCGAAAATTCAAATTAGTTTCAATTTCAGACACAATGAACAATATCAAATGATAACATAAATTAGTCTTAATTCAGACCCCTTGGCTCCTTGTTATCCAATGCCAGGCTCAATCTCTAGACATGGCGATTTGGACATAACAATTATTACTTTAGGTTAATTAAGTTAAACCCCCTAGCCTCGTGGCTCCTTGTCAATCAAGTTCAACCTCCTAGCCTTGTGGCTCCTTGTCAACCCAAGTTCAACCCCCTAGCCTTGTGGCTCCTTGTCAACCAAGTTCAACCCCCTAGCCTTGTGGCTCCTTGTCAGGGAATTTCCCCTGGTCTTCATGCGCGACTAACAAGATAAGCTTATGTATTGGTCGTTCGAAATAACGTTGTTGGAAGATTCGCTTCCCGCGACTGTTTATCTTGGGGTCACCCATCACCAATTTAACCTTACGCACATGATTGTCCGAGGATGGGTAAACATCAACTACTCTGGCTAGCGTCCATTGGTTTCTTGGATTGTCGTCTTTCATTATTACAACATCACCTATACGGGCTTCACGCTGTGGGCAAGTCCATTTCTGACGTGATTGAAGACTCTGGAGAAACTCTCGCTTCCAACGCTTCCAGAATTCGTTAGCGAGATGCTGAACTCTCCTCCATCTTTCCTAGAGTACAAGTCCTCTCGTTGGAAGTGTCCTGGAGGCGGCAACAGCACGTTGGTTTTCATCGTCAGAAGATGATTCGGTGTCAGGGGCTCAGGATGTGTAGGGTCATTCAAATTGTCGACAGTCAGAGGTCTGCTATTTACGATAGCTGCTGCTTCGTTCATGAGGGTGCGCAGGGACTCATCATCAAGCTGCTGTCCAGCTTCATACAGCAATGTTTCTAGCACACGACGTATACTGCGTATTTGTCTTTCCCATACACCTCCCATGTGACTAGCCGAAGGGACATTGAATTTGAAGTGAATATAATCACAGTCGTTCCTCAGAAGAAATTCCTGAATCTTGTCCTGGTGTGTATTACTACCTTCTCTTAGCTCAGCTTCAGCCCCGATGAAGTTAGTGCCTCTATCTGAACGAAGCTGGCGCACAGGACCTCTAATGGATAGGAATCGTCGAAGAGCGTTGATGAAAGAGTCGGTTGTCATCGAATTTAGTGTCTCAATGTGCACAGCCCTAGAAGCCATACAACTGAAGAGGAGGCCGTACCTTTTCAGTTCCTTTCGGCCTTCTTTGATTACCCATGGACCAAACACGTCCATACAGCTGTATGTGAAGGGTGGTGTAGGCTCAACTCTGTCCTTAGGCAGGTTTGACATCTTCTGCCATTGAGATTCGCCACGTAGCCTACGACATGTGACACACTTCCTTATGAGTCTAGAGACTGTTGAGCTCCCAGATAAGACCCAGAAGCCGCTGGACCTCAGTTGGTTGATGGTCATACCTCGTCCCTGGTGAGCTGTCTGAATGTGACAATGTCGTATTATCAACTCTGTAATATGGTGGTCCTGAGGTATAATAGCTGGATGCTTACTTTCATAGGAACCTTCAGCACAACTCAGGCGTCCACCTACTCTCAGTATCCCATCAGCGTCGATGAAAGGGTCAAGACGATGAAAGCGACTATACCCTTGCTGCTTACGCCTGTGTCTCTTGTTTGCATTCATCTCACTACCTTTACCAGACTGGTTCTGTATAGCTGTCAGTTCATTACTGAATGCATCTCTCTGTACGGTCTTCAGGATTTCACATTGTGCTTTGTTGAGTTCCTTTGTAGTAAGCTTCTGTAGCTCACCATGGAATGAAGTCTTTCCAGTGGTGGATGACTTGCTCAGACCTCGCTCTCGACATCGCCTTCTCAAATGCGCCTTCAGTCTCATGCAGTTTGCTACTGCCCTTTTAGCTCTGTGCCAAGAGGAAAATCTGTCCAAACGATCGATCTCAAAGGTACAAGGCTAGTTTGCATGAGCTTTCTTCACTTCTGGATCATCCAACTTCACATCAAACTTATCACCTTGAATGAACTTCTCTGCGTTGCTCTCCCACAGGAACTTTGGGCCAGTAAACCAAGAGGAAGACAGGAGTTGGTTGACTGTAGCTCCTCGAGAAGCAATATCAGCTGGGTTATCCTGTGTACCCACATGTCTCCATTGTGAGGGGGAAGAGTGTTGTCTAATCTGATGCACACGGTTGGCAACAAAGACATGAAAGCGCTTCGAGTCGTTACTAACGTAGCCCATTACTACATTGCTGTCCGTCCAATAGAACTCTTCAGTGTCTGAGGGTACAAACTCTCTCTGAAGAAATGCACTGACTCTAACTGAAACAACTGCAGCTGTCAGCTCCAGACGTGGTACAGTGATTGGTTTGAGAGGTACAACTCTGGCCTTCCCCATCAGGAGTGTACAATGCACCTTTCCTTCATCATTAGTCAGCCTTAGATATGTGCACTCGCCATAACCAGTAGTACTGGCATCAGAAAAGTGATGAAGTTGCGTTGTCTTTACTTCTCCGAAATGTGCAGGCTTGTAGCATCTTTGTATGGAGATTGAGTCCAGATTATTCAAATCAGCTCTCCATTTCTCCCAGCTGCTTCTCTGTTCATCAGGCAGTTGATCATCCCAGTCTACTGCTTTCCTGCATAGTTCTTGCAAGATCTGTTTTCCTCGCAGTACAACTGGCGCCAGCAGGCCCAATGGATCGTAGATTGACATAACTGTGGCTAAGACTCCTCTTCTCGTCAGGGGTTTGTCATGTAGAGTGAGCCTGAACTTAAGTGTGTCGGACTCAACACACCATAGAACTCCCAGAGCCTTTTCCATGGGTGAATCAACTCCCAGAAGATCTGTCTTGGAGACTCCCTTCGCTCTATCAGGCTCCGGAACAGATTCCATTACTTCTCTGCTGTTAGATATGAACTTGTGTAGATGCAATCCGCTTTTCTTACACAGTTGTCTTGTTCTCGAAACTAGGTCGATAGCGTCCTTTGTAGAAGGAACGGATTTCAATCCATCGTCCACATAGAAATCCCGATGGATGAAGTCCTTCACATCATTTCCAAATTCGGCTGCGTGATCAGTAGCTATCTGCTTCAAGCAAAAATTGGAGCAGCCTGGGGAGGAAGATGCGCCAAACAAATGGACAGTCATACGCAGCTCAATGGGTTCTCGAAGAATATCTCCGTCTTTCCACCACAAATATCTCAAGTAGTCACGGTGGTCTTCTCTCACCTTGAATTGGTGAAACATTTCCTTTATGTCACAACTGAATGCAATCTCGTCTCTCCTGAATCTGCAGAGTACGCCTACGAGAGCATTTGTCAGGTCTGGTCCAGTGAGAAGATAATCGTTAAGGGATTCCCCCTTGTACTGTGCACTGCAGTCGTATACGACCCGAAGTTTGTTGGGCTGTATAACACCATGGTGGGGAATATACCAGACTGGACTATCAGCTGTCTTGATTTCTGGTGCTAATTCTGCGTACCCTTTCTCTAAGAGTGCTTCCATCTTCTCTGTGTATCTACGGTGGTAGTTTGAATCTCTTTCAAACTTTCGTTTGAGATGTTGTAGTCTCTTGTCTGCCATACACCTGTTGTTTGGCAGATCTGGTTCCTTTTCCTTGAAGGGAAGTGGAGTTTCGTAATGTCCATCTTCTGTTAAGCGAACATTATTCTTCATGATGTTCATGAATCTGACATCATTATGTGAGGAAGGTTCGCTGTTGTCTCTTAGGTCCGAGAAGTCTGCTTCCTTTATTGTAAAGGCTGTATTTGTTTCTACTCGACTATACCACACAGAGCTACGTACACTTCCACTATTTGTTACAAACACATACAAACACGCACGCTCGCGTGCACGTGCACACACACACACACACACGCACCCACACATGCACACACGCACACACACAATATATATATATATATACACTTGCACAACACACTCACCAACTCATACACAAAGATCGCTTGAACACTTTTTCATTTTAAGTTTTACCTTAAGATTTTTTTTTGTTTTGTTCTTGTTTTTTTTTTTTTTGAGGCCGCCATCCTTGTCAAGCTTTGCTTATGATTGCGGTCTCCTGCACTTTTCCACCAGAATAGTTAGGATAATACTTTAAATTTATGATAATATGTTATGGAAATAATAAGTTTCGTTATTATAATTATGTACATATATTATGTAAAAAAACATTTTGACATGAAGAAATTATTGTTTGTTTATGTTGTATTATACCTTACATGTATATTATGTTATTTGTTATTCAGTTATATTTTATTTGGAAAAAATGCAGAAATAAAATCAAATCAAAAAAAAATTATCCTCAGCACCGATGAAGGACTTATCTCTTCCTTGATGGTGACGTTGTGTGAGAACATCACCTTTTCCTTGGTTGCAGTTTTGCTTTCAGTCAGCTCAGGGAGTATCTCACAGGTGATCAATCGATGACTGAACCCTATTCTGTCGTCGGGGCTGACAGCAAACTCCTTCTGACTTGATATACCCACAACACACCAACCTAGATCTGTCTTCATCCCAAAGGGTCCATCATCATCATCAGGAGAAAGAATTATGCTGCGAGGAATTAGAGCACGTGCACAATCATATCCGATCAGCAATCCTACCTCACAGTCTTGTAGTGGTAGCAGTTCCTCTGCAATTTCAGTCAGGTGAGGAAAGGACATAGCCACTTCAGGCACTGGAATATACTCCCTATTTGCGGGCATGATGTCTCGTGTATAGACTGTAGGGAGATCAATCATCTTCATACTGTTGTGAGCACGAACCGTGAGTCCTTGAATTTTCTCACTAGGGATCCTCTCATCCTTCTTGGACATAGTAGAAAGAAGAAGATTCACCTTTGAACCTTGTAGATTCATGGCTTCCTTGGTAGATTCCAGCAAGAATGTGGTGTCCGACTGAGTATCCAATAATGCATATATCAGCCTTTCATCAAATCTGCCCTTCTGTGATATCCAGACTGGAACAACTGCTGAACACTTTACAGCCTGTTTCTTCAAGGTCATGTGGTTTACTGTTGTGTGAGAACTCGATGACCGGAGTTCTTCTGTTGCGTTAGAACTCTCATGATCAGACGATTGGATCTCCATTCTCTCATCATCTCTCTCTTGTACTTGATTACTCCGATTCCAGTCTTCATGAAGAGAAGTGGGATGTCGCCGTTTGCAGACACTGCATGTGTCTCTCCTTCTGCATTCTCTTGATGTGTGTCCTCTTATGAGACAACCATAACACAGTCCATTGTCTCGTACGTAGGTCTTTCGCTCCTTCAAAGTCATTGAAAGGAACCTTTTACAAACTCCTAGTTGGTGGTTTTCCTTACAGAGCACACATACATACTCCTGCTTCTTTCCCTTTCTTGGATGCTGAGGGCGTTGATCTGTCGAGGCATACATGGATGTTGCGCCCGGAATCGTCCGCTGCTTGTCTACCTTCAGCTCCTTTACACTATACAAAGAGGTAATTGGGTCGCATGCGATATTGGCCTCCTCCTCAATGAAGTCACTGAACTCATGAAATGATGGGAAATTTCCATGAGTTTTCTTCCAATGAGCAACTTTCCTACCCCAACTCACAATCAGGTGGTCTGGGAGTTTAGCCAAGATCTTCCTATTTTCCCTCTCATCATTCAATTGAGCCAGATTTCCGATGGTTGTCATTGCTGTACAGCACTGTTTCACAAAGTCAGACAGCATTCGAAGACCTTGGCCATCTCTGTTGCTGATTCTGGGCCAAGAGTCCAATTTATCCCTGTAGGCGCTAGACAGGACAAAGGGATCTCCGTACCTCCTTTCTAGGGCCATCTTCGCAGCAGCATAAGAGTTGGTATCACCTAGCAATGCGTATCCTTGTACCAGTTGCAAGGGTTGGCCCTTTATGTACTTCAGAAGATAATAGAACTTATCTGCTGCGTTTATCTCTCTTCTTTCTATTAGGAGGTCGTAGCTTCTTTTCCAAGTTGGATATTGGAGGGGACTTCCATCGAACTGAGTGGGCTCTGGAGGGGGCAGGTGACTTATCCTCATCTGGTCCACTAAACTCGCTGCTAACGAGTTTCCCGTTTCAATGTCCTGAGCTCTTGGGTTAATCTTTTCCATCGTAGGTGGGTCATCTTTTGGTTCGGCGTTGACCCACTCTTCACAATCATTCTGTCGTTTTGGAGAAGGTTTAGAGGAGTGTCTGGATGACGTCGATTGGGTTACAGAGCCTCCTTGTAGAACCTTCACTCTTTCGTGGGTTTGTTTCATCAGCTCTGCATGCTGCTCCTCCACCTCTTCAATCTTGTCGAAGCTGTCATCATGCAATTTTAAGGACACCTTAATCTTGCTGAGAGAATCCTGAACTACCGTTGCCTTGTCCATAGCAGCTTGGACTTCATCTCTCTGTTGCTTGATGACCAATACGAGTTCTTCATCACTTAAAGCAGCTCTCAACTTATTGGCCGCTTGACGCCAACCTCTTAATGAATAACGAAACTCCAGTTCACGTTGGTCGTTTTGGTGCTGGAGTCCAAGTTCGGTTGGCTTCGGGTCGGATCTCGTTCGCTTAGCCTCTTCTTCCTCTGGCATCTTGTCGACAGTGAACAGTAACCAATCTTAGAGCCAGAAGTTTTCACTGTAACTGCAGCCAATCAATAACGACAAGTTAACAAGGTTTTTACGGGAGTGTTCTTTTATTCTTTGGTAGGAGCGTAGCTTCCTTTCTTTGACTCCTTTCTTTTAACTCTGTTCTTTTCACTCCGTGAAAACTGTGAGAAAACAAACAACAAAAAATGGGCATTAATTAAAATGCAATAATAATTACAGGTTCCTTATCCATGTAATAATTACAGGTTTCTTAATACAAATTTGGGCGTGACCCATAGGCATTATACCAAACCTTGCCATTTACTTAACCTTACTATTTCTTTGTGTTTCCTGAATAGTCTTCACACTTCCTTAAATTAATACAACTTAAGTTCTTATACACAGATTCATCAACATAAATTCTTATACATGGGCACCTGCCTCAAAGTTATGGCATAAATATCATAATTATACACATATTTCCCACAACTGAAACACTGCAAGCTTAAGTACTGACCTTCTTGCCTCCTTTTAGTCAATTAACTTGTCTGCAGCTAAGAATATGTTGCAATTAATCATCGATTTCTCATTGTTCTTCATTGATCATTGTTTGACTTTGAAACTCTGTCTATAAAAGTCTGTCGCCGAAGATGGCGCTCTAACCTTTTTGTCGACTAAATCAAATACACTTACATCCATGCTTTTATGCATTGTCTCCTTCATGAAATTCTATGCAGGAATTGTGCTAAAGAATCATGAGTTCACAATTTTTACTCTTGTTTTGCTTTTGTAACTTTACTTTCCAGATAAAAATAGCTGAAGAAGGAAATGTTTCCAAAGGAGTTCTAAAGCACAGTATATTCTTGTCATCGTCATGAGGCAATTTGTGTCACTAAAATGGACTTTACAAACTTGACTTTGTCTTTAAATACATACAGCATTGAGTTTCACTTTCACAACCTGTTTGATTCCATCTTAAAGAGAAGGTCGAGTTCTGGTCACGCGATTGCATTGTGAAAGAAACGGTGTGGAAACGATCAGAAAAGGTTGAAATGATCAGAAAAGAATTTGTGTGTATTGCAAGGTTCTGGAATCATCAAAATGATAAGAAATTTGGCCAAGTCTTGGTAAAGTTACAAACACTGTACACAGAAAGATGTATATTGGACTACACGAACACGTGGCGTAAAAATCCTACCCCAGAGTTTTACAATATTACATGACATATTTAGAATATGAAGGCATTTGAAGAGCCATGCTTTTCAGGGAACATGTCTTATCTGATGTTCTTCCACACTTGCATAATGAGAATGATAACGCTCACAAATTATTTTTCACCTCTTCCCAGAACTCAACCTTCTCTTTAAAGTCATTTTTTATTTCAATACATGCCTTCACAGGACCCTCGGGCTCAGAGGAAGACTGGCTGAGCAGGTGACCGTTGAAGTTGAAAGATGGAGCCGATATAGATTGACCTAAACTACAGTACATGTAGGTGAGTAGAAGGCAATAAGGAAATGAATAATCGGATGGTACGTATGCAAGAAGTGCCTATAGAGCAAGGTCGATCGACACAAGATTGTCATCTGATTATTGAGAGATTGTATTTCCAAGGAGCAAATTTATTTTAAACATGTTTCCATATAGAAATTATATGCGTTTAATACAGTTTATTGAGATTTTTGGACACGTTAGCCTTTTTGGAAAACCCAGATTGCCCAGTAGCTGAAAATGCACATTCACGAACTTGAAGCGTTTTCTGTGATGTCCTCCTGTCTTTCAGAGTTACCTTTCTCTAAAAAACGAAAGCTTTTCTAAGGCCGAAATATTTTAACAGTGTCAAAGTGTTTTGCTTTTAATGGTACAGTCCAACTATAAAGGAATGATGAGCAAACGTGATCTTTTGTCTTTTAGAAAATAACTTTATGAAAGGCTTGTTTTTCCAAGTAAACATTGAATGACAGGAAATGAAACCAACAAGCAATGGGGAATTCTAAACTCAAAACTGCACTGTTTCTCGGAAAATACTGAAAAGTCTCTACCTTTCATTACTTTAACTACCGGTGTCACTCACTACCCACTCCCATCACCCTTTTATACCTTATCCGCAGGAGTCGATTGAGATTTCACCATTGACGAGTATAACCATGGATGATTTTAACGGTGTTTCGGAGAGGCTAGAGATGAATGGAGAAAAGGGACCTATCACAGAAGAGATTCAGCGGGAGTGTAAAGAATTTATCGAGGATCTGGTGGACAGGATATTCAATAAAAGGTGAGTTGGCATTGAAGAAAAAGGGGAGAGAGATTTTTTTTCAATCGAGTGCTACCTTTAAACGGATCATTTTCAACAATTCAATGCTTCTATTCTTTATAGACATATGTTTTTTCCTGGGACCCGGGTCACAAGCAACTTGCTTTTAATAATGGGTATTCCCTTGCTGTCTTTTGATTTACTTGTTATTATGTTCATGTATCTGTGGTCAAATAAATGAATACATTTGTGGGTTTCTTTGAATGGAAATAAATAAAATGAAATTGATAGAATTAAAGGCAATTGTAGAGGTGAAAATTACATGTAGTCTGTTCAAGGTAATACAAAGTTTGGGGTAATTTTGAAAATTGGCTGAGTGATTCTTTACAATTTTGATATATTTGGATGCCCCTGTACAGTGTAGATGTATTATTAAAACACTTCTGCTTTCGAGAAAAATGGAATATCAAAATTTACCGGTGCTCCCTGTAAATTTTGATGAATTTCGAATAGTGCATACGGCCATATATATGCAGTTATGATATATAATTTCATAACAGGAATAGCCAATTGGTCAATATTAGTCAAAAACATTGTTTTATACTAGCTAAACTAGTATATTGACTTTGAGAGGGAGCTTTACAACAAAAAAGGTTTATTATTAACAATTTCATCATTTTAGACTCGATTTCAACCGCGACAACGATCACTGAATATTGTAGGATCGCACATATGCTTCCAATACGGTATGTTCATTTGAACCAAATTCATGACCCAATACAAAAACTTTGTATTACCTCTAAAGCATTAGAATTGCAGGAATACTGTAGACAAATACAGTATAGATGTGGATACCTTGTAGTATGAATCCTGAAAACTGGGTGTCAGCAACATAATTCTTTTTAAAGTTATTTTTTGTGCTATCAAATATGTCTTTCCTTCAGAAAGTTCAGAACATTCATACAATAAAGGTAACATGGCCAGACTTGCCTGCTTAAAGGTACTATGTCCCTTTTGCAGCCAACCTCAAATTCTGTAGAACTTTGCAGGAATTATGAATATGTCATGTATGTCCTATCTGTGAAATTTAAACGTTAGCAGTGTCCTCATATTCAAATTATGCAAGGAAACCCGTTTACTTGCTAGACTTCACTGTCAGACACTATTGAGTGACTGACTGGCTTTTTTTCTTCTTTGGTAATAACATACATGAAAAGAGTTGTAAAGGGTACATGAGCATTTGTCTACATCAATAACCCACTTCTTGTGATGGCCAAGATTAAACTGATTGAATCTTTGCGCAGCATAAAACGTATGACCATTCAGTACAATTGTCAGAAAATCAAGACTATTACTTTTGGGCTCTATAGCCCTAAGGTCGATTTGACAACTAATAGTCATTATTTTCATACTTGAAGACATTTTCAAGCCCCACCTTTTTTAGGGAAGTTCTAAATAAGTATTATCTTTCAAATGCAGTTGGAATTTTTTTGTTTTTTGGCCTGCAAATGGGACATAGTACCTTTAATACTGTACATCGCGTACACTTTAATGCAGGATACATTTTCATTTACATGTGCAATTTCAACAGTAGAATGATAGTTTAGAATTACTGCCTTTTTTCCTTCCTTTGGTTGTTATTTCATTGCTAGTTGGTTTCATAAAAGAATATAGTATGCAGTACTTATTTTACATGTACTGGTACATTGTAAGTTGTGAAGAGATGTATCTTAAATTTTATCAAGGTAATTTCCTTGAGTTCAGATCCTTTCAATATGTGTTGCAAGGTGGTTATTATATTAAAGTAGAAACTGATCTGCCTTTACAATGAATTTTGCATTTGTCTTTTTTCAGTTTCGGTATTTGCAAGGTTGAAAGCACTTGAGTGTAAAGATCTAAATCTTTTATTCACCGTTAATTTTGTTATTTTTTAGTCAGTGGTAAAACACAGTGTTGGTCTAGGTAGGCATAATTCTGTTTTTCTCAGTTCTGGGCCCCGTTTTATAAAGAGTTGTGATTAATCCAAACCAATCGCAAGTTTGCAGTCTCCTATCTCTTATTTATATAGTTGCCTATGGCAAATAAGTTGCAATCATCAATATCAACAGTTGATAAAGACAAGATCCTGTACTTATACCACAACAATAGTTATTAATAAACTTCAGAGGCCATGCACTGTATACACATGTGGAATGTGATAGTGTCTCTGGCTGCGTTCATGCTTAAGTTTTGAAGGCAGAATGAGCGATCTGAAACGCTCATCGTAAACGCTCATCGTGATCGCAGTTCCACGATGTACATGTAGTGTTCATGCTTACTTCTCTGGCTCCCCAGGCAATTCTCCGTGTGTGGCCTTAATTGGTCTTCCAGCTGGATTCGCAAACCTTCACTGTGCATGCTACGTAGACCCACTAGAGGTCAGTGCGTTGACCCCATTTAAACGCGTTTACAAATTGTAAACGCATCTTTTTGTGAGTTTACAATCGGCGATCGTGATCGCCGTTTTTCGGTGATTCTACAAAAGTGAGCATGAACGCAATCGTGTTTTAAACTAAACGCGTAACAGATGCCTGATTCTGGCCGTCAAAATCAAGCATGAACGCGCCCTCTGTATAACCAAATTCTAACCAGAGTAACCGGATACATGAACCAGGCCTGATAATTACAAAATGTTTTTTCCATTTATTTTCCCCCTGATTTTACTCCCTGATTTTACTCCTATTTCTCCCAATTGTCATTGATTTTTCTTTCTTACTCAAGAGGGGGAGGGGTTGTGGTGGTAGTCGAGGGAAAAAAATCTGTGTTGATTAGTGACCGTATCAGAAGATCATGAATTAGATATACATTGTAAGAAAAGTGAATGCTACATAGTTTGGAGATCACTATAATTAAAACTGGTACAAAGGTGATGGGACCATCAGACTGATATAATATTGGAAAATCCAACAACTCTCCCATGCACTACCCATAGATGTATTTCATACAGACACAGTTCAAGATATATATATGCCCCACATTTGAGAGATACAATTACATGTACATGTATATATACTGGTACTAGAGAGTTCAAGGGAACTGACACTCTCATAAAACATCTGTTTATAGTTTCCACAAGGTTGTTTGATTTTGAAAGGTTTTTTTTAATTGACCGGTTTAATAATATATTCAAATTTTATGCATACTGTTTTTAATAAAGGTTGTTCTTGACAAAGCTTTGCTGAGGCTTGGCACAGGGTTGCCTGACATCATTGCAACAAGTAATGTATGCAGACTGGATTCTAAGTATTGTAGTTCATTCATTAATAACAGGTTAATGGAATAACTTGTCACTACAGGTTCCCAGGAAAGAAGAATCCATAATCTAAATATACATGTATGTTAATAAACCAGTCTATTGCTGCATAGACTTTGCACTCTTAAAAATAAAGCTTGACTATGGGTGTATGTTCTTGTATTTTCACTGCCAAAAAGGGTTGAGTCTGGACTGGATCCAAACAAATTCCTGTATTGATCAATTTAATGTGAATGGTATCAGGAGCTCTTTGCAGTAGAGTTCTTCCACACTTGTTGATAGGTACATGTATGAAGCAAGTCTGAATTAATTAGCATTGGATTATTCATAATATTTTCAAATCAATAGTTCCATTCTTTTTTAAAGAAGACACAAATGATTGACATTACACATGTATACACTTTTGTAGAATGGGCGTCACAATCCATGGAGGACATATTAAACTATTTTTTATAATTTTCAAATCATGTATGATTAAAGCCCTTCTTATTTCCTTATTGAAAAATGTATGTGCATGTATTTTGTGTCGAGATAATGAAAACAAAATTTGATGCGTTTAAAATGAAAGAAAAATATTAATTTGTCAAGGTGATAGATTAATTACCAACCAACCAATCTTTTCTTCATCATGTGTCATAACATCAGTACATAATACACACACACAGCACAATTAGGCCCGATATATACTGTATATATATTGTACATCTTCCCTAGGGAATCCTCGTCTAGTGAAGGTGCTATGTGGAGCATTAAAACACCTTCCAGGGGTGATCAGATCATGGACCTACTACATACATGTACATGTAATAGGTCCATGAGAAGACGTAGGTAGCTTGCCTGTGTGGGCGTTGGAAATGAGCTTAGCAGGTGTTTGGTAGAAAATCCAGTCAGGGCTCTGACATTTCAAGATTCAATGATTTTCATTCGATCGTGGTAGAGAGATATACCAGTATATGTCAAGGTGTAGAGTAACTGGAGGGATGGTGGGGGCGGTGCGAGGGAAACAGGGAGAACTGGAGAAAGGAGGGGATGCTATTGGGGGGGGGGTATTTGGGGGAAGAGTTTGGTGATCAGTTGAAATCCAATCAAGGATATGACATTTCCATATTCACTGGAGTGTAGATTTTCATTACATGGTGGTAGGAGAGATGGATGATAGGCAGGTGAGGAGGTTGGTGGGGGGGGGGGCAGGTCAGGGAAAAAATACTTGAACATTTTGGGGGCTACTTTTAAGCTTGCTTGCATGAAAAATTAAAATAACACTCTTTAATTTGTTTTGCATTGAACTCTATGCAAATTTTGGCGGCTCTTTTACGACTTTTGGGGGCTTTTGGGGCATTTCGGGGGCTAATTTGCCCGAGCCCCCGTGTATTTTTTTTCACTGTGTTGGGGGGGGGGGGGGGGGCTATGTGGGAAAAGAACTTGGTGAAAAGTAGAAATCCCATTATGGATCTGACATTTCTAGATTTACACAAGGAGGAATTATCATTAGATGATGGTTCATTGTATAGGGTTGGATGGGCAGGTGAGGAGAATGGGTACGGGGGGGGGGGGGGGGGGGGGGGGGGGGAGCTGAGAATGTGGGAAGGAAGGGTTAGTTGGGAGGGGGATAAAGGGTAGGAACAGGGAGAGAAGAGATTGAAAAATAGGGGGTGGCAATGGGGGAGTGGAGTAGAGATAAGAATGTACATGTATGTGTGTGCGGAGGGGGGTGAGAATGTTGGAGGAATATGTGGGAATACGGGGTGAGAATGGAAGACCATTGAAACAGGGAAGGGTGCTGCACTGAGGGAAATAGAGGCATGGAAGGGATGGGTAGAGGATGGAGAATGTTGCCAAATGCAATGGTGTTACTACAGGTAATACCAGTCCATATTTTGCTGTTATAATATTAACTAAATACGGTTATTCCTCTGTCACCTAACCTCTTAACAGCCAGCCAGGAAGCAGTCAAGAATCGGTCAGTTTGGAGTCAGGTTTAACATGTAAAAGTCATGGGGGGGATTTGGTTGTGATGACTAAAGTATTGTTGTGGTTGGAGTTTCATTGCAAAGGTCATTCTTTACTCTCTTCGTAAACATATTTGTGACTTCAACTGTTCAAATGCCCTGACAAATACATTTTATGGGCATTTTTGTTGTTGTCCTTGACTGCATATCTGTTGAATGAATGTCAACATCTGTTACTTCTTTGGCACCCAGTAAACTATTTTTTTTTATGTGTGTTTGTCCTTTTTTTTATTGACAGTTCAACTATTGTACAAGAGGACAATGCCAAGTTTGGAATCTATTCGAGAGTAAGTATTCATGATGTGGCTCCAAACCCCCTTCAAATTTTATATTGGTAAAATTTATGGAATTTGGGGGACACTCCAAACAAACACTGGCCACTGACTTAAAAAGTTCATGTGATGCCCTTATTACATGTACATGTAGAATACTTTGAAGTGGGGAGGCTTGACAAAATATAACGTCTAGAATGACAGAAAAAAAACAAATGCAATATTTCAATGTCTTGAGTTTTAAATTTTAAGCAAGGTTTGATGATATATATTCTTAGCTTTGCTGTTAACATAACACCCCATACAGTAAAGTACCACCCCTGCATTATATGTACGTTCTTATATATTACAGTTAATAACATCCTCCTCCCTTTTCATTATTTCGTTCTTTCTCTTCTCTCTCTCTCACCCTCTCTCATTTTCTCTCTCTCTGTCACATACACACACACTCTCTCTTTCTCTCCCTCTCTCTCTCCCTTCCTCTCTCTTTCTCTCTCTCTCTCTCTCTCTTCTTCACTCTCTCTTTCTTTATTTGTTTTTTTGCAGACGACAGAAGGGAGAGCATTATTTGCCAGACTGGTCGATTCACAACGGGTCAATACTAAACGGGTTTCGGAACAAACATTTTATCGACTCGTCCAATTTTTTGCACTTTGCCTCTTTGAGTAAGTAAATATAACATAAACTCACATTTTAAATTATTTTCCAATTTATTTCAGAGTTACCTTTTGTTTCAATAAAACTTTATTTTCAAAATGTACAGTTGTAGTCACAGTTAAAGTTTGGATATTTTTGTGATACTTTGGATGTAGTTTTTTTTAAAGTTCATAGTTTGAATTAAATTTGAATTATTCTTGTATCTGTTAATTTATTTAAAACAACAAGCAAACAATATTGTTTCATGTAATTGAGTTCAAAATAATTTTGGAGTCTTACTTATAAAGTAAAAAATTTTAAATAAATATTTATATGTTTTATTAATCATTCATAATCATATTTTTACAAACAATCATCTAGGAAAATTACAGTTAAAACAACTTACATGGTGCTTTTGAAGAAGAGAAAAAATGTGTCATGATTACTTTACCACGTCTGTAACGTTTCCCTTTACGTAGACATATGTTTTGATGAAGAGAACAATCATGACGATTCTTTTGGTAATAGCCCAAAGCACATTTAAATTTACCATGAGGACAAATATCAGGTGCTTGTGAACCTGCATTTAAGGGTAACAGCGTCAAGGATGCCATATATACATGTAATATCGTCCTTTAAATAACTAGTAGCATAGACCTATCGCTGACAAGTTTATACTTGAAAGGTTGTCTGTCCCTTTTGCAGGCTGAAAATATAAAATTATGTAAATCCTATGGTAAACAAGAGATAATACCAACTAAAAATTCCTCTTAAAAGATTAGAACTGGTAATTACCTCTGAGGAATTATATCGACCATGAGGAATTTCCAAAACATGTTGCAATAAATATGCCTAGAAGGTAGTCTGATTTTCAGTCCTTTGTACTGCATAGTCATATCTTTTGTGCTGAGCATTCCTCAATAATTTTAATTTTGGTCATTGTAAGAAGAGGGTCGTTGATGTGTACAGATGATTATGTACTCTTTACAGCTAATTTTATCTATGTTATTAACAAATTTTAAAAAGTTAGTCACTTACTCAACAGTGTCTGACAGTGAAGTCTAGAGAATAAGAGGTTTCCCTTGTCACTGCTATTAAATTAATAGTTAAACTTTTGAAATTGAATTTCACAGATAGGACATACGTGACATATGTGACATACTCAATTTACTCATGATTCCTGCAAAGTTCTACAGAATTTGATGTTAGCTGCAAGAGGGATACACTACCTTTATAATATCATCATCAAATTTATTTTTCTCCTTCTTTTCCATAGGTGTAATGAAGCAGATGACTTCCATCCTGCCAAGTGTCTCATGAACATGAGTTACACGTTCTTCCATTACTCGGAAGGTACAAAAGCTTGATTAATTAGGAATAAATTCTATGACCCGCCCAAAAGATAATTACGGTACATTTGTATAGTACAGTCAAACCTGTCTATAGCGATCGCCCAAAGGAAACACAAAAGTGGTCTTTGTAGACAGGTTCCTTTAGTACATGTTTTAATGAGAAATCATTTTCAGGGTAACTGACAAAAAATGTGGTCTATGTAGACAGGTGGTCTCTAAAGCAGGTTTGACTGTAATTACAATGACAGTTTTGATGTCTATTGGTCAGACACATTCTCCAGAGTTTGTTACCAGACTTTTTTCGAGAGTAGATGATATTTTGATAATGGTAATAATAAAATGTTTAAAAAACTACTCTTTAACTTTAACAGGCAAGTATCTTTTGGATGTGTCAAAGAACTCATTTCTAAAGATTCAATCCATCACAGTGAATCTATTCAGCATGTAAAGTAATGTCAAAGAAAGCAACTGTGTTCTGACAACTATTTTTTTTTTCATGAATAGAACAATTTGATGTTCCATGATCCTATTTTGTACATTTGGAAATAAAAGGTCAAATATACTTATTAATTGTGATGGAACTTATGATGTTATTATTTTATTAAGAACAATGTCAGTATTATGATCACTAAATAAAGCTCTAATGGTAAATAACTAATTGTAAAGATTACTTCACAAATGTATTTTGCATTGCATTTTAATCTCATCAGGTGCAGGTTTCTTTCCCTCTCTCTCTCTCTCTCTCTCTCTCTCTCTCTCTCTCTCTCTGTATCTCTCTCTCTCTCTCTTTCTTTCTCTCTTCCTCCTTTTCTCTTCCTCTCTCTCTCTCTCTCTCTCTCTCTTTCTCTATCTCTCTCTCTATCTGTCTCTCTCTCTCTCTCTCCCTCTCTCCCTCTCTCCCTCCCTCCCTCTCTCCCCCTCTCTCTCTCTCCTCTCTCTATCAAAAAATAATGCTGCAAAAATTGATGTATTGCAAACATAAACATGTATTAATGTATAAAGGTTGTGGAGAACGGAATCGCTGAAATATTACTTCAATTCTCTCCCTTAGATGTTTTGGAATTCTATCATTCTTTTTATTCCATCTCGTATATTCATTAGAAGTGGAAGATAGAACCCAGGATGTAATATCACCAGATTCAGAGGAGGCAGATGATTCAACGAATGGTGACAACAATAATGCCCTGGGTAAGTCATAAGGAACTACATTTATTTGTATAATATTGGACAATCCTGAATGGGTTAAAGGTAATACAAAGTTTTGGTATGGGGTCATGAATTTGGTTCAAATGAACATATTGGAAGCATTTGCGACCCTACAATATTCAGTGATCGTTGTCTGCGTTGAATTTGAGTCTAAAGTTATGAAATTGTAAATGATAAACTCTTTATGTTGTATAGCTCAAGATATTAATTAAGCTATAATTACTACAGAGCGAAGTGACAGTTGTTGATTCCAAAATATTTTCAAGGCTTGTTCACAATCCATTCTAAGCTGAGTTACCTGGATACTCCAATACAAGATTATCAGTTACCACATTAAGGACCAATTGAAAGTAATTATCAATGGCTTAGCATAGAGTGTCACTTTATAGAATTGAAAGCAGTATGCAAGCTGACATATTTTTATGGGTCGTTTTGCAAAGTCATTTGTAAATGTCCCTTTTTATGGAGGAGCACTCGTAAAAAACCTATCATGTACTGCATGCAGGAAAAGGGTCTTTAACATAACTTGTTTTATTTAATGCACTTTTTCATTCTGCTCCTTTGGGTATAAAATGCTGATAAAAAAAGCCAGAAAGAGTAATTATGTCATTCAATGAATCAATTTCCATTTTTATTAATTTCAAATACCTTACAGGGTGACAAAAGAAAATTAACAAGATTTTACTTGATAATAGTTATATGCTTATTTATTGTGCACAAATGTTATTCAATGTACTATCTCTTTATTGTTTTAACAAAAAACATTCTGAACTTAGTGATTTTTGTTGAAATTTGTTATGGGATTCACGCAAAGTTTTGAGGATACCAAAGGAACATTACTTACAAAGTTTCAATTGTAAAGATTGGTTGAGTTCTTTTTAAGATTTATGTGGAACAAAATAAAATCTTGTTGCATTTTGGTTAGACACCCATACATTTCATAAAGCTTCTTGTAGAGTACATTTTGAAGTATGATGTACTGTTATTTTGATCAATTTCACATCGAAATCAAAAGAGATCATTACAATTTATTTCAATCACAATTTGATTAATTGGTGATCAAGTTTTGATGTGCTAGATGTATGCATTTTAATGTGAAATGTGAACTATGGTCTCATGAATAAAATATGAAAGTATAAGTCTGAGATGAAGTTTAATCCTTCAGTAAAAAATACCTTTAGTAAACATCCTGCTTTTTCCAGTCCATATTGAAAGGTAACATTTAACTGCATTCCATTTAAATGTTTTTCCCCACACATTAACAAATTCAAATTTATAGTTTTATCATGTACAGGTATCTGAAATATATTCTTTGGCATTCTTGTTCAAATATGTTTTGTGAAAACATGAAATTTCCTTGGAGTACTGTACATGCAGCAATAAAAGAAGATATTTGAGTTGCCAATTTGAAGATGAAAGACTGATCATGTAGCTTTCTAAATTTGAAATAACACAGAAAGAGTCCCAAAGCTCCCCACCCCCTCTATTTATTTCTGCATCCATTAGAATATTGGAGATATGAAGTAATATAGGGCCGTTTGTTATCTAATGTAATTATATTCTGGTAATATTATTTTGATAATCCCCCTACTCCTGAATGTGAATCATTTCTCTTTTGTTTCTATTTCACAGAATCGCCTTCAAATCCAAAGCCTCCTAAAGTAAAGAGCTTCCTGTATACTCATCTTAAAGAACAACCGATTTGGTGAGTTGCAGTATAATATGATTCTAAGAATAGTAACTAGAGACACAAAAATAAAGGAGAAGCAGGAGAAAAATAAGAAAGAGTAGCATGAGAAAAAGTAGCAACAGAATAGAATAGAAGAAAGAAAGAAGAAGATAAAGAAGAAGAAGAAAGAGAGAGATATGTATATCATCAGAGGGGGGGGGGGGGGTTAAAAATGCCCAAAGTCAATTTGTTTTGGCAATTTTCTATGAGGTATTGTAAATACATTAAAATAAACTTCCTTGTTAAAGGGATTGTTTAACAATGTTAAATCTGAGATACACGGCCCTACGTGTTATCAGTGTCTGTGATATGGTGTAATATTGAAGCCCTGCAAAAATTGCGCTTCAAAATGATCAAGAAGTGCCTCAAAAAAGCAAAAATCTTTGAGTGACCGGTTTTACCATACTCGTTTTGCTTGTTATGAAAACCGTCAGGCGAACGGTTTTCAAAATTTGTAATTCCAATCATAAATATCTTGATAATCAGACAGGCGATCGGCTTGTAAAAGTCATGGGGTTCCTGACTAACCTAAAGGTTTATAATTATCATCGCATTATGAGCTAAATCCTGAATTTTGTTTCAGAATCTGAGACAAAGTTACCGGATCCCTTTAAGAGCTAGTCATATATTGACAATTTGATAATTATAATATTCATTGGTCTATGATAAAGTTAGAACATGTTCAGAGCTCCTTTGTTTAATGCTATAAAGCATTCAGCACCATTTTCTTCTTCACATCCAATACATTTCCTACATGGATAGATTTAATCAATATCATTAATTGTTATCAAATAATTATGATACATGTACGTGAGTGATGTAACCTTTAAAATGTGCTAAATTCAATTTCAATTTCATTTTATTGTCCGATGGAAACTTGCTTTGCTCACATTTGAAACACAACTTTACTTAAAGATAAACTTTAGTACTGGTAATGCGATTGCATTGTGAAAGAAAAGGTGTGGAAAGAATCAGAAACAGTTGATCATGTAGCATGTAAGTATTGGTGTGCACTGCAAGGTTCTGGAGTCATCAAAATCATAATAAATTTGACCGAGTCTTGGTAAAGTAACAAGCACACACATAGAAAGCTATATATGGGACAACACACATGGTGTCGGGGCTAGTACTACCTTGATTTCCTTGTCTTTCTATGCTCATTACTCAGCCAGTATATATTTTCTTTCAAAATTGTTTGGCACCAGCTTTTACCAGCACTGGAGTTTATCTTTAATATAATATATATACATGGCATAGAGAGATATTATTATAACGCGATAAAACAGAAACAGGATTCACATCATGCTAGCTTGTTCCAGCATGTTGTAATATCATAATGAAATATTAAAAAAACACTTTCTTTCTTGACACCAGGATGTAAATTCAACCCATTAACATGTGTTTTTCCACCTGATATTCCGTTATTGAGCTGGTACTGTTTATGTGCAATGATATTTTTTGTTTTCAAGTTCCTGTTTTCTTGGGAAAGTCCAATGTATATGGCCATTTGCTGTCCTCTGCACTGCCAAGAATAATGGGAATTATAATTATAATATCAAAAGTGTAATTTGTCCTTGATTTTGGTCTAATCAAAGCTCTCGTAGGGTGATCACCTTGATTGAATTTTCAGAATACTAAAACCAAAGATGCAGTTGTTATGAATAGTATAGATATTCATGATCATGTTGGTTTTATTTGTATGTGCACACGCATTGAGAATCTTTGTGTGTGTAAATCATAGAAGTGAAGTAAGGTACAACAGTCATGGTAACATTCTTTAGATTTTCCAATTATTTCTCACATGTAGTGTTGTTTTGTTTTGTTATTTGAGAGGGGGGAAGATAGAGTAGGATTTAGAACACTTGTGTCCATATTCCATAATATAGTTTGTAATGTATGACATTTTATAGATGACCTCATATATGCACGTCCTATATGCATGCTCATGAATGAAACATTGTTTATCATGCAGGAAATGCCAACGGTTCTGGAATGCATCTTTCTTTGAGTCTGTACATCATGAGAGAACACAACACTCGCCTGATGGAAAAAGGTGAGGCAAATTTAATAGACAATTTTCACAATGTAAATCAAATTTAAAGCATAAATCTTTGTTAAGTGCCAAGTTTCAAATTATTTCATTCACCTGTTACAAATAATTGTATTTCAATAGTCAGAATGCGAGTTGGATACATTAATTTTCGCTAGATAGAATAAACAGTACAGCTTGTCCTACCTAATATCAAGGAATGTATGCAATTCGCTTTCTGACTTTTGAAATACAGATGAATTTAATAATTTGTAAGGAGGCACTTAACAAAGATTTGTGCATGAAACTTGATCAAATTACAAAAAATGGTCTATTCAGACCTAGTCTCATCCATACTTTCCTCTTGACCATTTTTTGTTTGCATTGTTGTAATCCGAGTTTGGAAAGAATGGCACTTAACAAAGATTTGTGCATGAAATTTGATCAAATTACAAAAAATGGTCTATTCAGACCTAGTCTCATCCATACTTTCCTCTTGACCATTTTTTGTTTGCATTGTTGTAATCCGAGTTCGGAAAGAATGGCACTTAACAAAGATTTGTGCATGAAATTTGATCAAATTACAAAAAATGGTCTATTCAGACCTAGTCTCATCCATACTTTCCTCTTGACCATTTTTTTTTTGCAATGTTGTAATCCGAGTTCGCAAAGAATGAAGGAAGATGTTTAGATAGTTGCATACAGTATTGAAAATATGCAGACCTTTTTTTTTTTTTTATCTTGTTTTCTTCTTTTTATAATGGATTGGTCTTGAATTGTTGTAGTTTTTATCAAAATTATAATTAATAAAAAAAAATATGTTATTCATTTGTACCTCCCAAAATCTCTGCTATCAGGGCCAAACCTTCTACTAGAATTTGTAAACATAATCCTACTTGTTCATGGTCACTTGGTCATGCATTAATTGATGAAAGAACTAAACGTTTTCAAAACTTTCTGTATTTCATGTTGTAACATTCATTGTTGCTAGGTAGGACAAACATTATGGCCTGTCCTACATATCATTCACAGAATGTATGCAATTCACATTCTGAATATTGAATATAATTATTTGTGATATGGCACTTAACAAAGTTTGTGCATTGAATTTGATTACATTACAAAAATGGCCTTTTGTATTAAAGGTACTATGTCCCTTTTGCAGCCAACCTCAAATTCTGTAGAACTTTGCAGGAATTATGAATATGTCATGTATGTCCTATCTGTGAAATTTAAACGTTTGCAGTGTCCTCATATTCAAAATATGCAAGGAAACCCGTTTACTTGCTAGACTTCAATGTCAGACACTATTGAGTGACTGACTGGCTTTTTTTCTTCTTTGGTAATAACATACATAAAAAGAGTTGTAAAGGGTACATGAGCTTTTTTTGCATCAATAACCCACTTCTTGTGATGGCCAAGATTAAACTGATTGAATCTTTGCACAGCATAAAACGTATGACCATTCGGTACAATTGTCAGAAAATCAAGACTATTACTTTTGGGCTCTATAGCCCTAAAGTCGATTTGACAACTAATAGTCATTATTTTCCCACTTGAAGACATTTTCAAGCCCCACCTTTTTTAGGGAAGTTCTAAATAAGTATTATCTTTCAAATGCAGTTGGAATTTAACCTTTTCATTTTTTGGCCTGCAAATGGGACATAGTACCTTTAAAGTTGCTGTATTCACTTATTTACGTGATCTTTGCAGAGGACACTGGAGGCATATGAGTTCTGAAGAGCAAGAGCTAGCAGAAATTATGGAAGAGAACATCACGTTTGGTCAGCTAGCTACCTTCCTGCACAACATGATGGGACTGGGTCTATCGGAACAGTTCACAAGAAGATTCCTGGACAAGATGGGAGTGATAGGAAACATCACCAAAGGTTTGTGAATAATATTTAATGTTACCGGTATATGATTTAGAAACAGCCTGCTTTCTTCTATTACTGGGGGAGGGGGCAGCCCAAATGATAGGCACAGCTTAGCTGTTATGAACATTAAATGTCAACTAGAATTTTGAGATAATCTCACTGCCTATTAAAGTGGTTTTGAAAACAATATTGACCTCTTCCTATGATAACACATCTATTTGCAGATACACTTCAAGCTGACACCCTTTATCATGTGACACAAAGTATTCTGTAGGATTGTGTGTTGCAACCCTGTAGCTTTGGGAGCTATAAGATTATTCATAAAAGTCTAAAGCCAACAAAAGATCTTGCAGTTTGATTTCTAGAAGTGTTTGTGGCCATGTAGATGTAGAGTAAAAATATGTAAGAAAAAATGTAGACCTATATATATATTAAAGCTTCCTATCTCACTCCTATCACACTCTTTCCCTTTCCCTTTCCCTCCCTTCTCCCTTCCCTTCTCTCTCTCTCTCTCTCTCTCTCTCTCTCTCTCTCTCTTGTTCCCCTTACTACCCCTTCCCCATCTCTCTCTCTCTCTTTCTCTCTCTCTTTCTCTCTCTTTCTCTCTCTCTTTCTCTCTCTCTTTCTCTCTCTCTTTCTTTATCGCTATCAATTCAGATCAGTATGATATGCTAGCAGCAAACATTGCTTCGCACTTCAAAGCCACTTCGCACTTCCAACCCGCCTCCGGTAAGGAGACCAGACAGTGGTCTCTAAGCAACCTGGGCACACCCATCAGGCGGAGACTGAGCAGTCTGATGAAGCAACCTAGCAAGCATTGACCCCCAGAGGCAGAGTTCACTGACCTCACCTGAGCCAGGCTTGCCCAGTACATTCCTGCCATAGCAACATGCTGAGTATTGAGATTGAATCTTGTTAGCTTGAGAGCCATCTGTACAGAGTTTTGCCGACTTGGTTTCAGTTTCTCACAACATGGCATTTATGTTCTTTTGTTTTGTGCTTGCCCAACAAAGCAGTTTTTTCCTTATCGTGCCTGACTGATTTTGGCCAAATTCTGCTAATCGATGACACTGGTTGGTGTTAGTGGTAGGAGAATACAGTCATGTGACCAATCCTCTTAGCCATTCACAGTGAGATGTATTTTCTTCTTTACTCATCCCTTTGAAATCTGCATTATAAAGGATGTGACATCAGTTTTATAAATATTGAAGGTCGCATTCGTCATTTGAAAACTAAAGCATCAGTGTGAATAAAAGTTCACACACAGGTACCCAACCTGAGGAAGCCACTCCCTTTAAACAAACGCACATTTTATCTTGCCTGACTTCAGCGCTGACGTGATAGATATGCTTGCCACAGTCACAAACAAATCAACTTGCTATAAAACTCATTGGTAGTGAAACCCTCTTGCGTCAATCATTCCAAATTTTCTGGTTTGGCTCAATAACTTGTGATTCAGAGCCCCAACCAAATATGACAGATATAAGGTAGAAAGGGCTAAAAATGTAGTTTCATGAATATCTTGCTTTTAATGATTGAAATCTCAAAAAGGAAAACAAGCTTTAAAGTCCTTAAATTGGCTACACATTGAGAAATTTAAAATGATTGTTTTTCAATAACAATTTACCATTTTTCAACTTTTTACAACATTCTTGCCCATATATTGTTTTCAGAGACATTACATTTTATTAGAACAATGTAGCAATAAAAGAAGAATATTATTGTTGCCAATTTGAAAGACAGTAGGTGAAAATGAATCAGCTCAAGCAGGCAGCTTAAAACATCAGAATACTAATATGAAAACATTATTAATGGTTATTGTTTCAACAGAACACATGCAGATGAGAAAAGAAGTTGTGCTGCTGTTTTAGAAACGCTTGTTACAGCTACAAACAATGAAGTTCATTACACTTTGTAGAACAAAAATTGTTCAGGTACTCATACTTGAACATACTCAATAAAGCCTCCTGTTACCGTCTCCAATTGACAGCAATTTGCTTTTAATTTTACCAGTCAGCATAATTCTTTTCATTAAGAAAAGAAGAAAAAGGATATCTGAGTCATACATTCTCACAAATCAACTCGCCTAACCCAACTCTGAATGAAATGCACTCACTTATAATGCATGTGAAAAGGAAATGAATACAGCTTAAACAGATTAAAACGTGGTCACCGCTTATTTATTTTCCTTCTGACATATATATGTATAAATAAAAGACAGCTCAAGTTGTCTAATGTGTATATACATCTCTTAATTCTAAACTCAATATCACACAATTCACAATGTGGTCTTGCCATGTACACATTAGGTTGCATACTGTTTTCTATACCACCCAACTCTCAAACTTTTTTCTATCATCATAGGATTATTTTCTGACAACTTGATTCATCTTCTCAATTTCAAATATATTTCATGATTATTCAAAGGCTATCTGTAGAGTTTGTATCCACTCTGAAGCTGCAACTCTCATATTGGTAGATTAATTTGCAAATTACTGTGTTAGTGTTTAGTGGTTAAAATATGCAACTGTGGTATGTGATATTGTCAAGAAAATGTTTACCCTGCATGCAATTAATACTTGGGCGTTGAAAGTGCACTAATAACCTGAAAATAGTTTGCTCGGTATGTTAGGGGTTCCATTTTGCTATACTATACTCAAAATATAAGCTTCAAATATTACTTTTATTGCAAGTTCAAACACACTCACTCCATTTACATAAAATTATAATAATAATAGGTCCATTTTATATAGTGCAGCTACTAAATGAATATACACTACTGAGCTTAATACAAAGTATCATATTAGAGTGTATTACCCTGGCTATAGCTGAGCCTTACTATGGCGCTAAAGCTTTCAAGGAATTTCTTCCTACCGGGTACCAATTTACTTTACCTGGGTGTAGAGTGGCAAATGTAGATTAATGTCTTGCCAAAGGATATTAGTTCTGCGGCAGGACTTGGACCGCTCGAGTAGACTTGAAGATACACTTGTAAGCACTCGCACAGAATATGGCCCGTATAGAACCCAAGTCTGATTGGGTTACCATGTGTCCAACTTTTAAAGGTAAAGACCAGTATTGGAAACGCCCCAATTTCAAAAAATGAAATGGAAGCTCTCATTTCCAATCATGTGAAAGAATATGTTCTGACTAATACATGATGATAAAAAATTTGCCGGGAAACCGCCTACTAATTCATATATTTGATAAATTTGTTTCTCTCATGGTCTGTGAGAGATATAGGGTAGTCCCATATACATCTTTCTGTGTATAGTGCTTGTAACTTTACGAAGAATGGGCCAAATTTCTTATCATTTTGATGATTCCAGAACCTTGCAGATGCTAGATGCTAGATGATCAACCTTTTCTGATCGATTCCACAACGTTTCTTTCACATTGCAATCGCATGACCATAACTGGTCTTTACCTTTAATCATAAAGAGTGCCAGACTGGCAAATTATCATACAGTACTTGTGTATTAGACAATTGAAATCTCTATACTCCCCCTTCTTTTTTTTGTAGAGGGTCACCAATGTAGAGTCTTTTAGGAGCCCATTCCTTTTTGTGTATATGTTAAACTAACAACTAGGCTCCTCACCTAATAATTGAAAATGAGGAAATTAGATGTGATTTAGATGTGCAATATAGAATTATAATTTGTTTCTGATGGTACTATGCTGTGAGAGAACAAATGGCAAATGTATTCTACCATCTGTATATAGTTTCACTATATTATATAAGCATACTGTACAAGAGTCAAATGTTATGCAGGAAATATACATGTTGTATGTGTAAATATATAAGGGAAATGTATTGGGTTTAAAAGTTTAAAACACATATAAATCAGTATTGGAATGTACATGTGCATTTGGTTTTGGTCGGCTCTGGTCTGTGAATTGCCAATAAAGTGAGAAGAGGGGGAATATGAGATGGTATCAGTGAAAAAAATACATGGGGGCTCTGGGCGAATTAGCCCGCGAAATGCCAAAAAGAGCCCCTAAAAAAATTTGCATAGAGTTCAATGCAAAACAAATTAAAGAGTGTTATTTTCATGCAAGCAAGCTTGAAAAGTAGCCCCCAAAGTATTTTTTTTTTCCTGGATCATATTGGTATATGCTTTGCTTTATACATTAGCTTTTGTATTTATAGCCCTCATTGCACATTTAATTTGAAATATCTTAAAGGGTTCTTTGGGTATGTTAGAATATAACAGTATTGCACAATTGCACATTTAGCGTGTAGATTTTGGCCATATAGAGCAATAAATCTGCTGAATATGCTTGTGTCAATGCGCATGGTATAACAAGTGCAATATGAGTATTGGGTTACAGTAATTGTTATCAGTCATCAGTTTTTGTTTACACCTGTACATTCTTTTTATCAGTTATCAAATGACTATCAAATACATCTACACTGTATGTTGCCATTATTAAAGTAATGTATTTTACATGTACGTGTATCATTAGTATTATATTGGTTTTCTTAAACATTAAACATGTTTGAAAATATAATCTCTTTTAATATATTCTTTGGATGGGAAAAAAATCATTTTGTTTCATGTTTTTGTTCTTCATCTGTGATATTTTGTTGATATTCCTCTTTCCGAAAGCAAATTTATCAAAGTTTCAATACTTTTTATTTGGGCTGCAAATCTATTACTTGATTATTTTTTTAACAATCCAATTAGGACAATTTTGTAAAAAATTGTTAAAAATTAGTGTGCTGCAGGATGTGTACTTAAAATATGATTTCAACAGGTTTTTATTACATTTCTTGGTATGGTTATATTTTGTATTTAAACCACTAATGTTATACATGTATAATATGTACAGGTAAACAGTTATTTTTCAAACCTCAAAGGAAAGGTTTATATAATATCAGTTTTATCAGGGAGGTCCCAGCATTATAAATGTCATTTTTCTGACATTGATTTTAAAATGGTTATTTTCTGTAAAGAATATGATATCATTTGCTTAGAGGCGAAGTCATTCACTCAATGAAAAATCATTTTGTCTTCTGGTTGTCAGGAGACAATCCCAATACTTGGTGATTTGGTTTTTTGCTCTGTTGAATATGCATGCTGATTATTCATGAAATATTTTACTACAATCAAATTGTCAATTTATACAAGTATTAAATATGATATTCAGTATTAATTGTGCCACAGGAAATCTCAGAACAAGCAAAGTATGCATAATCAAGTTTTGTTGTGACCAGCACCATAAGATCTGACAACTTTGTGATCAAAATGGAAAAATGATAGTTCATTTGATGTGATGCATGTATCTATGAAAGCATAACCAAAAATGAAAAGCTCTTCCTTTTACTGCACCAGACGTGCTATGCCATAATATTGCATCTGATTTAGATTCTGTAACTTTGTAAAGAGTTTATTTGATATGTGACGTTCTCACAATCTTATTGGATTTTACAGGAAATAGAAATCTTGCCCTCATTTTCTTTCTCTCTTTCTTTTTGATCATTTAGTATCATGTCGTTCATTGCGGGGCCTCGCACTAACTCTTTTTCGATGTTGGTTCGGATTGACATGTAGAGGGCTTCCGTGCATGAGCCCTATGTATTACATTTCGAAAATGTAGGTTATCCGGACTTAGATTTGGGGTACCTATTTGTCCCGGGCGCCTGGTTAGTCCCGAGTTAGTGTCAAGCCCTGCTCATTGCGCGACTTGGAAGCCCTGACATTAGAGAATTCTGCTCTTCCTATAAATCTCTGTGCCTATGTGTATTCCCATTGTATGCCTTGTTTGAATTGTGCTTTAGCAGAATTCTATATCTAATCTTATTTCAATTTTCTTTCAAAACCCAGTTTGAATCCGGTCATGAGATGTATGGTGATCCTAGATGTTCTTCAAAAACTGTAAAATTGTGAAATCACTCATTGTGATTTAATTTTTTTCTATCTTTTCTTCATTCTGACAAATAAAGATTAATGTTATTATGTATTGTCTATTAGGCAATGACATTCAAATGTATGTGATGTAAAATCTAGATGTATAATTTGTAATGTACATGTATATATGTATATGGTGCTGTAAAACTTGAATATATGACTAAAAAATGGGGGGAAATAAATAAACATATGTACTTAACATTTCAACAGTTTTGAGGTGCAATTTGTTTTTGATTGTTTGAGTGATTTTAATTTGCTTTGTTTTTTTCTTTTTTCTTCTTTTAGTATATTCTTTCTTCATTACTATGAAATTATTTTTTCATATACTTTCCTTAATCTTTTCTCTCACACTCTCTCGTAAAGGACTCTCTCTCTCTTTCTCTCTCACTCCCACGCCCCTCCCCTCCCCTCCCCTCCCCTCCCTCATCTTCCTCTTCACTCTCCTATCCACATTTATTTTAATGCAAGAATATTTTTTGTCCTTCATTTTTATTAACCCACCTCTATTTCTGTCTCATCCTCTCCTCTAGCTTCATTGTCACACACCCATCTCTCATCAAATATTCAAAATTTCCTCTTTTCATCTTTCTTTCCCAATTAAAGTGATCTACTTATCAATAAATTCTCAATTCGGGTTATAGATAGTAGTAAGATTTGTATTTCAAGTTCATTCAATTTACATGTACAACTAATATCAATATATCTCTCATTGACATCTATTATAAAGGTAACTTCCATCATACATTAATGAATGAAGGAAACAAAATACTGGTGCATAAAAACAATAGGCATAATTATGACTATACCCAAGAATTCAACAAAAGACACATCACTTTTAATACACATCATTTTAGCAGTAAACTTCAATGTGTCACTACTTAAAGTAGATCACTTAAGTCAATTTTCAAGTATGTTGATACTTTGTAAACTAATTGGTGATTTTAGTGATATAACATCCATTAGTAAATGCATCTAAACAAGTAATTCTTGCAAGGTAACAAACCATCTGTCCATGACCAGAAAGGCGTCATCTCTAGTTTGAAGTACATATATTTTGGTTCCTTCTCAAAGGAAAAAGTTTTTTTAATTTTATCTTTTTTAATTTGTAATATCTGCACAATAAAAGTGAGAGATTAATAGTATTGTTCAACATTGTACTTCGTCCAAAAGGGAATTTAAAAAAAAAACTATATGTATTTCATCTACCAACTGATGGAAGAAGAAAAAAAAAAGAGAAAAGCTTATCATTTCTTCAAATTTCAAAACAATGTTTAAAAATTTCGAGTTGGATACCACATGGATTAACACTAAGTGCAAGATGTCAACTTAATTTTTCTTTTCATGCAGAAGGTAACAGCATTCTTCCTATGTTCTTGTTAAAACTGTAACATCAACAATAAGGCTATGTTATAGTCCAAAAGGGGATTCCCCAAAATTGTCTAGCTTATAAAATCCCTGAGAAACAAGACAAAAAATGAGAAAATCAAAATAGTGATATGTACATTATTTACGATCTTTACATTCAAATGAAGAAATATGTTGTGTTTTTTTTTACTTCTTTTCAAAAAAGGAAGAATTTTACATTATTCACAGACCAGTGGTTTGCCATCAATGTGCATACTGGTGTAGGGGAAAGAATACAGAGCTTAGTCAGCTAATCGGCATATCTTTCAAAATACATTAAAAGGGAATACTGTGCTCTGTATAACTAAATTACCAAGTACATGTATTTAATAAATGATTGTTCTTGACAAATAATACTGGGTCACTTAAGGAGATTTTCAGTTAATCCATTTCTAATTTCATACTTTGTTAATCTTCTGAGAGTCTAGTTTTACGCACTTCAAGTAGGCTCAAATAGCCATGGTTCTTAAAATCCAATGATATATTTTCCTTTATCACCGTTTGCAGCAAAAAAGGGTGTAAACACACAGTTGAACACAGAGTTAACACCCCTCTATTGGCTCTACCTACACAGAGATGATATACCCCACTCCTAAAGTCAATCTCCACTAAAAATATAATAAACTTACATAGGTTAGTGAAATTGTAACTCGCATTTAAATACGACTTCAACATGGATTGGATTCTTCTGTGTCACATACACTATATATCAAATACCGGTAATCAAAAAATTCATCGTCATAAATAAATAACATTCATTGGTCGAGTATACACTGTATGTCCCGTTCAGTAGCAAAGTGCAACACAAAAATGATTCTATTAAGTCCTATTTCCATCAAAAGGAACAAGATTATTCTAGAACACATATATAAGGAATAAGACTTCTTCAATATTTCATAATAAAAATAAGTTGTAAAGTTGCAAATATGTTACAAATCTCAAATATTTCCGAGACGCCCTGATAGTCCTGCATAAATTAAACTAATCATAATAAGACTTCAAAAGTGAAAAGATTTCATGCACATGACTGCACTTTTGTTTTCCGTAATTTACCTACCCTTGCACTATGTCGATGTAGGTAAAAAATAAAATGGTTATGGATTTGCTGTAAAGTGCAACATTCATATCAAATCTTACTTAGCCGAAAATTACATTTTTCAGACATCAATACATGACTACATGTACAAAAAAATTCTGTCTTTAAAGAATTGAGCTGACCTCCAAGTCATGCTCTTCATAGTAGGAACCAGGCAATCCAACACAAAATTTAAGACTCCAGTGTTAGACAGTATGGATTGTTACTGAAGGTTTAAAGTGGCTCAAACAGTATTTTAGAAGTGTTCTTATTACTGTATAAGCAGGACTAATATACCAGGTCATGGAGCGAATTAGTAGCACTTTGTAACTGAACAGAAAAATTGACAAATACTCTTTGGATTGGAATTTTGATTGTACAAATTAATATGCTCATTCAGCACCTCAATAACGACAATTTTTCAACTCTTTATTTGCCCATATCTATTCCTAATGGAAAGTCTTCCTAAATCTGGCCCTCAATAGATTGTAAGCTTCCCTGTGGCCTAAACTGGCTTACCGGCCCACCAGGGAACCAGGGGCCAATTTCTTAAAAGTTAGTGGACATCCAGAAGAAATGTGTGGTAGTTCTATAACACGTTTCAATGGGATATCCAAGAATTTAGACTTATGACGGTTTCCCGCAAAACGGCCCCCTGAGCTCTGCAGCTGAGCATGGCCAAAGAAGCTTATCAAGACAAAGAAACAAATAACCTGGAAGTGAGAAAAGGCAAACTGGCCAAACACAGCTAGAACAAAGAACACCCACAGGGCCTACACGGAGACCACTAGGAATCAGGAATCGGTATCTCCCTGCCATAAAAGGGGGGCGCCGTTATGTAATCAGTGCTATTCATCCCCTGTCCTTTGTTTACCCAAGCACTCAAAGCTGGACCATACAGGCAGGCACACAAGGCCTGTTTTCACTATCTTGAGATTGCCAAATATCCAGCTATTTGAACTATCCCGATCTGCAAACTATCCAGCTAATTTGCGTCTACATCAGACCGAAGTAGCAATTAGCGGGATATTTGGTGGGGATTGCCATCCCAGGATATCTTGGGATAGTTTGCAAAATATCGGACTATTTGGCAAAATATCCAGCTATTTGTCCTGTGCGTCTTCACCAGACCGAAGACTAGCCATATGCGCTAACGCTGAGCAAAATATCTCGAGCTAATTTCTCAAGGTCGCGGTCGAATCTCGAGCTGATGAAGACGCTCGAATATCTCGAGCTAATTTCTCAAGGTCGAGGTCGAATCTCGAGCTGATGAAGACGCTCAAGGTCGAGGTCGAATCTCGAGCTGATGAAGACACGATTTGTAACTTCGGGATTATTTCCCAAATCAGAAATAGCGGGCGATCTCGAGATGATGAGGACGCGCCTACAGAGTGCTCTAATCATCCACTAGTGTCTCTGGGAAAGAGGGACAAAGCAATAGTACTTGGCAACAATTGACACTGACTTTAACAAATACACAATGGATCGGGATTAACCAAGAGTCAGGTCATTGTGCAAATAGTAGGAAATCAAATAGAGATTGGGAAAGACGCATGCCTGTGGAGAGAATGACAGAGAGGGAGGGTAGGGGGTGAGCGGGAGGCGCATATTTTTTTTACACAACTGTTTAGCCATTTTCGCGAAAAAATTCCAAGAAGTGCTCTGGTGAAAGAGTCTAATTGGTCAGCGCACATTATGTGCAAGCGCACGTACACCATCGAAATCGAAATTGGTTTGAGTTCGTTGACGTACACCCAGGTAAGGGAAGATTATAGAAAGGGGGAAGGATAGTGAAGAGGATATGGAGAAGGAAAAACAACGAAATACATAAGGAAAGAGAAGAGGATAAGTCAAAGGAAGAACATAGAAATACATAATTGAAGAGCTAAGAGGTTCATAGATCTAGACTAAAATAAGTAAAAACAGAAGGAAAAAAGGAATCTATCAGATTAAAACAAAGAAATATAGATGACGAAGGAGAAAAGGATAGATTGAAGGAGAAACAAAGGAATACATAAAACAAAAGAGAAGAGGTTAGAATTAAGGAGAACAAAGGGAATACATTAACGAAGGACACTGAAGGAAAAACAAAGAAATATAAACAAAGGAGAAAAAGGATAGGTTGAAGAAGAAAAAAAGAAATACATGACAAAAGAGGAGAGGTTAGATTGAAGAAGAAGGGTAATGCTAGACTCTGTCTCTAGTCGTTTGCACAGTATATTTGACTGAAGTGGCTAAACAGTTGTGTAAAAAAAATATGCGCGAGCGGGAGGGAGAAGAGAGGTAATCAACAGAAAGGGGAGCGGGAAAAGGATAGAGAAGGACAAGATACAAAAAGAAAGATAGGGATAGACAGAAAGGCAATGAAGAGAAGGGGGAGAATTGCTTATTCATAATAGATATGAGGGAGGTGTTTCGTGCTGAAATGCAATTTAGAGAAAATCCACAGGTTGGGGTGTTTACATTTAACATCAATGCCACTGTATCTAAATTTAGTTTCAAAAGAAAGGTCCATGATAACAAAGGAGCTAAGTGCAATCATCAAACAATTACATAATTTGTCTGTGATTCCCTCAAACGCCTAATGCTGCTCATGTACATGTACTTCTGAGAATCAGACTCTTCAAATACAAGCAATTTAAGTCAGTCCCAATACAAGTGAAACACATCAACATTAACAAAAAACACACTGTAGTTTGTAATTCTCTTAATTTTTTTGGTCTTAAAACTGTTAAACCATTTTGACATAGTACTAGTCAAATTCCATCATAAAATTGTGATGGGAGTAAAATTACAATGTTTAGACCAGCGTGATGAGCCTAAGTACAATTTTTATACCTTTTTTGATTGATTACCATGCAATGATTAATTTGCATTTAATCTACAATATCAGGAATAATTAACCTAAACCTTTACCTTGATCAACATTTACATGTAGTATGCAAGAATAATTGAATGTTTTCTGTTGGTGAATGCATAATATTGACAGGCTGAAATGGTTGGCCTAAGTTGCATGACTGGGTGTATAATTTATCCATAATATTTTCTGTAAAACAAGAGTTAACGAAACATCAAGGCTTTAGTGAGAAATAGAAATCTCCTTTAATAACATAATACTGTATCTATCTTTGAAAAATAACTGCCAAACAAATAATTTACAAGAGGAATTCTGGTTAAATGCACCTTGGCAAACAAGTATCAACGCATTTATTACATTCAATTAAAATGAATAGACCCATAAATACATCTATAAGGGGTATCTGCTTAGTTAAGATATGTACTCCCCTGCAAAACAATGTACATTTACTTGTAATTATGTAGTAGGGAAAATCTATCGCTTATAGTTGTAATACCTGTACATTGACACAATGTAATCTTTACTCTCTGTTGCAATAACACATCAATCCAAAGGAAAAATCCTTACACTATACACGTCATTTTAACTTTCTTTGTTGCAATAATACATGATCAATCCAAGGCAACAATACTTATTCAATCATTCATCTATAAATGTACTTAAATTAAAATTCATTGACTGCTTTTTAAATTGCCTACATTCTTGTGCAGGGATCTAAACATTGTCATAACTCTGTTCCAATTAAAATATTGAAACATTTCAAGTTATTATCAAGTCCATAAATAAATTAGTCGATATCATGGTAGTGATGGTAGTGGTGATGATGATGATGTTCATGATGATGATGGTGTTGGTGCTTTTGAGTGACAGGGGAACACCCCACCCCCTCTGTCTTCTCCATGACCTCGTGCTTCATCACCGTCAAAGGCTGCAAGGTGTGGTGTCGCCGCGATCTCCTCCGGTGCTTACCCCTGCTCACCGGTGGTGCCTGCGTCGCCGGCGCAACCACCTGTGTGGTGACGACCTGCACCGGTTCCGCCGGAAAGCTGTGCTGTTTGGGGCTGTGGTGACAGAATGTTGCCTCAGCACCGGCAGCAACAGCTTGCATCGGTCCAGCCGGCTGCATCCCTTCCAGTCGCGTCCTGGACGCCTCCAGCAGCTGCATATGATAGTCTTTGTGGTGCCTTTGAGCATACTCGTACTTTGCGAACAATTCCTGATTCATCTGCAGGGTTTGCTTCTTGAACCCGTGCACTTGAGGATCGCAAGTCTTTGCCCGTCGATGATGGGGGCTTGATTTCAAGTGTCTATGACTCACTTGGTTTGGACTGCTAGCTGAGGCACCTAGTGGTAGTTCAGTCTCTGGATCATTGTGCTGCTGCGCTCCCGCATCTTGCTCATGATTCGTACACTGGTGATCGATACCCGCAAGTTCCTGGTAGTAACTACGTCTCTCTGCATTCTCCTGAGGGCGTTCCACCGGAACACAGTTTGTACCCGCATTGTTTGTTTGCTTAGATACCGCAGTGGCCATCTTGTTGGCACCATTCTCCACACCAGCACTTGATTTTCTATAGGAACGAAGATAAACAAAAAACAATACAAGGATCAAATAAACAATCATTCCAAAATTATGCTGTACAGACCCTATTTGATTTTAGACTTCCATTTTATGTTTAATGTTGACATATTGGGTCATTGTCGAATGGGTTGTACAGGTCATGTCAGGCCATGCAACAATTTATAACACTGGAGTGTTGATACATATATTACATATGGTCAGTAAAAACTGAAAAGAAACCTACGCTAACTGACGTTTAATTTCATACACAGAACTAAAGCTGCCCTTGCCTTGCTTTCCGATGATGTCTCTCTGGGCTGGCCTGCTGATCAACATACAGGGGCGCGGTCACATCTGTAGGTGCCATTGAGTGTGACCGATGCTTTGACCTCCGCGACCTCTTCTCCTCCTTCCTCCAGCACTGGTGATTCACATTGAAGCTGTGCCTGTGAGTGGGAACATCCCCACGATCCCTGACGCGGTTGAAGAGATTCTCCTTGTTCTCCTGCTTGTTGAACAGTTGTGACGCATCGAGGGGAGACGCCGACGGGAGCGACGTGGACTGTGTGCCGACAGATTGCTGCTGGCTGAGATTGTCATGGCTTGGTGTACTAGGTTGGCTGGCTTTGTCTGCAGTCTTCTTGCGAGTGTCCCTCTCGTGATCGGACAGCATGGACAGGCGAAGCTTCAGCTTGCGGCTACCGCTCGGGGGCAGGATGACGGAGCATGCGAGGGCCTCAGAGATCGATTTCAGGATGCTGGACAGGTCCTGCGTGAGAAGAAGAGAAAGAATGTGGATCAAAAAGTCTAACACTGCTGCATGCCAACATCTAATACTGATATCCTTTCCATTACTTCCTCTTCCACTTAATTTCATTTAATTCCTTGCATAAGATTTGATTGATTACCATTTTGAAATCAGTTTACAATGACAAAAAAGCTGTGACAAACAATATTGTATAATCTTTGTAAACCAGGATACTGCCAGAAGCAAAGAAGTCAAAGTAATTGACCTATGGTACAAATAAAAAAAAAATTATATTTAAGTATTGGCACATCAGGGTCAATATGCTTCGTGCCACCACAGCAGTTACAAAATTCAAATCTCATTTCAAATATGATAGTTGTAGAGTGATTAAGTCCCCTCAGAGAAAAATGTATACCGTACATGCACAATATGGCCCTGAAGTTATATCCATAATAGATCCCTATTAATTTTGTAGAAATATTGTGTACCTGGGTATATTTATTATAATGCAAATAAACATAGCTCAGAGATGAGTACGCAGTACGCACTATTTACCGTAACAAGCAACTATGACAAGAAACTTTTCTTTTGTGTCCCCCTCTGCATACTGGTTTATCATCTTATTTCCCCTTTGTCGTACTTGATTCTTTTTATGTATGTATTCCTTTGTATTTCATAATATACATTATTTGTATATTTATTCGTTTTTTAAACTGGAATGTGTAAAAACAAAAATGAAATTCTACCTCTCTTGTGATTCTCCTGTGCCCATCAAAGTCATAGAGAGTGAAGGCCCATTCCTGCGTCTCTTTCTCTGCATCTAGCGATACATCACAATCCACTGCCTGTAAAATAAAACAGAATTACGTATGGAGATGAAGTTGAGTGCGTGCATATTCCTGTGAAAGTTATCGTCTTTTGTTACTTGCAAAGGTTGATTGCGGAGCTTGTGATTAAGAAGTCATCAAAATGAGCAGAAACTGACTGGTATGGTATTACTGTTAAAAACTAGCAGGACCCGCGGAAATCCGCGGGATTCTAGAGGGGGGCGGGGGTGTAAATAGATATATAGAGACTGTCTAAATTAAAACCGCCAAGAACTTTATTTGCCATTCAGGCCATTAAGAAAATATACATGTTTAGCGTCCCCGCCCGCTTCCTTTTTGGGGGCCGCCTCCTATTTTTTTTTTTTTTTTTTTATTTTTTTTTTTTGAAAGAAAAAAAACATGAAAAGTACAGCTAAAATGTATTTCTGATTTTAAAAAAAAAAAAAAAAAAATTGTCGGCCGCCATCTTGAAAAATAGCCCGAATGTCAGGGAAAATGTACGGAGCGGCCATTTTGAAAGAAAAAAAAAAAAAGGGCCTCCTCCTCCCCATTTTTCAAAAAAACAGGACGCTAAACATGTTTTTTTTTTAAATTTGGCCTTATAAAAAAATTAAAAAAACGATCCAACTGTACCAGGGAAAATAGTCCCTGCGTAGGTTATGCGTAGGCTGGCGTACAGGTTTGCTTATGGTTGCTTACTGTGTGGAAAGCTTTTACTGCTTTGTCGATCTGGCGTAGGGTAGCGTACTGTTGCGTAGGCATGTAGCGTAGTGTTGCGTAAAAAGGCGTACTTTCTGCGTCAAGTTTCTATGCCGTAAGTACGCAAAAAAAATTAAACATGTTGAATTGTTTTCGTTCATCTTGCGTACCCCTTTCCGTCCCTCAGCATATAGTAACGTAGGCCAGCGTAGTTGGTACGCAACACTACGCAACTCTACGTATTGACCCCACGCCAATTAGTGACCCGCAAGTGTCACAAATAAAGTATTAAAAATATGCTCATCTGACCCTAATTAAACGCCTAAACCCCCCGAGCTTTCGGGGGTTTATGGCCCCTTGAAACCCGTGGACCCCACGCCTATATTATATATACACTCAACTCGCTGCGATCTGATCTCTCCCCCCCCCCCCCAACTTTGAAGAACGTAACCCCCGAGCTTTTGGGGGTTTATTGCCCCTTGAAACCCATGGACCCCACGCCTATATTATATATACACTCAACTCAGGAACCGTGGAAATCCAAGGGATTCTAGAGGGGGGGCGCAGGCAAAAAATTAAGTTTTTCATTTCGGGGGCTCCATTTCAAATTTTGGGAAATTTTCGGGGGCTACTTTTTCAACTTTTGGGGGCTCTTTTTTCTGGGGCTACTTTTTCATTAATTCATAAAAGGATAGGCCTACACTTTGTTGAGATTTGTTTAGTAGGCTAAGGACAGGTTTCAGGCTTCCTACTTCATAATTGCCTATTTAAAAAAAAAACATTTTTCTAGTTCAATAACTAAGTTTTCATGCATTGATTTGATGCAAGAACTGTAACATAATAGACCCTAGATCGTGATTAGTTCTGACCATGAATTTCGATAATCATTTTTCAAAGTAAAATTTTCACAAGAAAATCAGACAGTCGTTTAAAAACGTAGACATTAGTAATACTTTTACTAATTCTAAGCTCAGGTTTCGTAAATCTATTCACGAAACTATATTGAAATCGCGGCAATAATGATGCAAACCAACAGATAACAATTTCAAAGTGTCAAAATCTCTTCGACTCGAGCTCAGCTCAGCTGAACTCACACACACACACAGCGTAACTCCAGGAAGCTCAAACACCGGCGCCGCAGGCGTCGGACGCCTGCGGTGCGCGGAGCCGGTGTTGGAGCTTCCTGGAGTTAACGGCAGCTCACACACACTGCACAGCAGCAATGCACTGTGTATTGACTGAAGGCAGCTTGCGACTGAACTGTCAGTCCAATGGTTTTCTAGTGAAAACTTTCCTTTAGAAAATGATAATCAAAATTTAGTATACATGGCCGGAGTAATCACAAAATAAGCTTTGATTTCATACCTCCATTCACGAAAACTATATAAAAATCGCGGCAAAAATGATGGAAATAGGTCCCTAAGTTTGGACGTGGACGGGAAGCTTCGTGTGTATCTCTGTGGCTTGTGCAGCTACTACAAAGGATATCCTATAGAAAGATGCTTTACTCAGGTAATCCCGACCCTGTGCATAGTGCATTTAATACGCAACTTAATGTGAGTGGATAGTCGTCGGTCGTGTGTCTACGGATGTTATGTTGAATATCCATGAGGTATCTCTGTCGTCACGCATATCCTGCATTATGCATATCGCGTCTGTTTTCGCCCTGGACGTCGACACGGCGGAGTATAGCCAATTCCAGAGAGTAGACTCTCCCGCGGACGATGGCACCGGGCGCGGGTACCCCGAGGGGAGGGTTCAGGAGGAGATAGCTGCACCAACTTCGGTCGGCGATCTCATTAAAAAACAATAGAATACAAAGGCTGGCGGAGACGTCGCGCCCCCCGCGGAGCCTTAGCGTATTACTTATATAGATAACTGTAGCTTTTGCACTGCCCTTTACGCAATGCAGTGAGATAATCAAAACAAAATTATTTTAGATATATAGATCTTTTATGGTCTTCGACGGTTTAGATATAGCACAATGTCACTAAACCTAAGACCTCTTCCAGTGTAAGCCAGTGCGGAGAGATGGCCAGTTTAGGTTGTAATTAGGGTTAAGGTTAGGTATAGCACTTGGTAATTGGTTGAAGTTAAATTCTGTTAAAGATAAAATTGAGTTCTGGTCATGCGATTGCATTGTGAAAGAAAAGATGTGGAATGGATTAGAAAAAGTTGATCATGTAGCATGTAAGTATTGGTGTGTACTGCAAGGTTCTGGAGTCAACAAAATCATTATAAATTTGGCCCAGTATTGGTAAAGTAACAAGGACTGTACACAGAAAGATGTAAATGGGACTACACAAATGGTGTCGGGCCTATACCTTGATTTCCTTATCTTTCTATGCTCATTACTCAGCCAGTATACATTTTCTACCAAAATTGTTTTGCAAATGACATTTATTTGTAATCTTGAACATTCAGTGTAAGTTTTGTTTGATTCTGTGAGAATTAATTTTCTTTTTTATCAGATCTCAAGTTTATCTTTAATAGTGTAGGACAAAGGTCAACAGGATGTTGCCAGAGCATCAAACCGACTGTTCTTACCCCAATGGTTGGTGATGTAGGGGAAGAAGGCGGTAGTTTCTTGCTAGGAGAGTCCTCCTGTCTGGTCTGTACCTTCAGACTGCATCTTGATCCAGTCACCTCTGGAGGTAGATCCACTGTGGAAGAAAACAATTTATCAATCAGAAACATACAGTCAAACCTGCTTTAGTGACCACCTGTCTACAAAGACCACCTCCTTACAAAAAGCATTTTTTTGTTTCCCCTGAAAATGGTTTCTCATAAAAACATGTACTAAAGGAACCTGTCTACGAAAACCACCTGTCTACGAAGACCACTTTTTGTGTTTCCCTTGGGCAGTCGCTGTAGACAGGTTTGACTGTAGCAGCAATAGAGAACATAAAGCCAAAAGGGCATAGGATAAAAATGGTTCTCAGCATTTGATATATTATTAATCTACAGGCCTAAACTTACCCTTATTCAAGTTGCCTGTCAAGCAAACTAAAAGAATACTCTCAGTCAGGCAACAACAACGAAATACAACAACAAAAAAGCTCTATTTTGGAGCAAGTCTTATTTTTTAAAATAAACATTTCACTTTGAGTGCGCTTCCATTAATTTTTTTATTTCTAAACACTTTGACCTCCTTTTGTTTCACTACCCTGGTCTTGAGTTTTTAAGGGGTCACTTTATCCATGTGCTTTTTCATAACATTAGCTTTGCCTTTTTTGGTGCCTCTGTGGCTGACTACAGTGGCCTACTCCTGAACTTAACGACATTCAAGCCCATACAAAGGCAGCTACACCATTATCACTATTATGTACCATTCATTGTGTAATTCACAGATTTTGCTTCAGAATATGGAAAATAACCCTCCACACTTCAGTCTCAGAAAGGGATCCTCAAGACAGATTATGAGACAATTCAATTTGGATAAGATAAGATACACTTGATCAAAATTTGATATACTGTATGTATGTAAATTTTCTTACCTTTTAGTGAACACAAGTCTCGGTGCAAAGCCATTGGTCTCTCTGATTGTCTGCCGTCGCACCCATACTGTATGTAGAGAGAGAGAGAGAGAGAGAGAGAGAGAGGGGGAGAGAGGGGGAGAGAGGGGGAGAGAGGGGGAAGGAGGAGAAGGTGGAGAGAGAGAGAGAGATAGAGAGAGAGGAGGGAGGGAGAGAGGGGGGAGAGAGAGAGAGAGAAAGGGAGAGAATGAAGGACAAAGAGAGAGAAGAAATGGGAGAGCTATTAATAATTGACAATACTGTATCCTGATGATGGAGAGCTCATAATTCTAGTCATTGAATGTTAAAAACGGTAACACAATACATTCAGCCCAAGTACAAAGAAACATTCATAAATCATTCCATATTGATCAAATCTGATAAGGGGAATTTCTTTTCACCAATGAATGCATCTTTGGGAAATTTGAATGAGCTTGACAACAATAGAAAGCAGGGAATCAATACCATTGTTGGTAGATCAACAAAAAAAGACAAGCCCCCCCCCCCCCCACACCCACAAACAGAAACACACACACACCGCGAGAGAAAGGAGAGAGATGAAAAATGAATCCATGATGAGAAAAAAATGCGGGTAGGAGACATGATTCTAGCATCACAGTAAAAAAAAAAGGTAATTACATCTTGAAACTTTGAGTTTCTATCAATGCAACGCGTAGTGATATGTTACATGATGAATAATAGAGCTAGGAGGATCGCGTCTCTCGGGGGGAAAACTCCTTTAACACAGGAAATGGAGCAGTATTGTTTGATCAAAGGGGTTCAAAAATCGAAATATTACAACTCGTACTTACAATATTTTTACAAATCCACTCCTTTTCGTACTGATCATAATTTTTACATAAAAGAAGAACAGGTTTGCTGATGACTCATTCCAATTACAAAAAAAAAATATATATCAGTATTTAAAGGCAATACATTGTATGCACTACAGCAAGAGAGAAAATTCAAGGTCTACATAAGTCATTGAAATCATAGAATACAGTTGCATTGGTAATACACCAAACCAGCTGTCGAAGTACTATCAGGACTTGGATAGAATATTTTTTAATAGAGATGTGAACCCTCAGCCCCCCCCCCCTATTTATTTATTGATAATTTTAAGAGAAAACTTGCATTGAAACTGTTTACACAGGTTTTGTGTACCAGTTTGTGAAGAAATATCAGTTAGCAAATAAAATCATGATCCCCTCCTCATTCTTGAAAAAAATAGGAAATTATTTAATCTATTTTACATGACCCAATAAAATGATAATCTAAAAAAAATGAAAAGTATTAGTATCAAATACTGAATTTCCCAAGACAGTATGAAATATCTGAGTATGAATGCCTAATTATTATTCTTTTTTAAATCCAAGTTCAATGGTGTGACCTTTAAACACCGAGCATCCAGTCATGCAATCCTTGAAATCACACAATTCCCAGACACTACAAAGGTTTAATGGAATTGAATCTGAGGATAATTCTCTTTCAATTGCTGTGTATTTGTAAGCTGCGGGGCTTTTCATTCAAAAAATACAATCTTACATCAGGCTTATTTACTCAAGGGATGGTAGCTCAGTAAAGAAAGGGGAAACTTTTCTTTTATCAAACTTCCATGCCCCGAGGAAAAGTTATTATTTCTTGTCCGCAAAAACATGATTTGAGAAAATGCATTAAGATGTCAGATTTCAATCAAGAAGCCCATTATTTAAATGACATTTACATGTACATTGAATTTTCATGATGATTCCAATATTTTACTCAGTTTTCATGTTATGTGTTACAAAAAAAACTTTAGTGTACTGGTAATGGTGTTATAAGGTTCCATTAATAACATACATGTACATGTGCATGTTCCTGTATGTACATGCATGGAAACAAATACATTGGTTTATGTAAATACATATTTTTTAATATCATTGTTCATGAAAAACAGCATTTTTTGTTACAGCACATTTTCTAGGTTCCAGTCTTGTACATTTCATACGTTTGCAATACATTACGATCCACCTTTCAAGCCACCCTCCATTACCTTTCAAACCATTCCAAACTTAAATCATCTTTTACTCTTCCCATCATACCTTCCTTTCCCATTCATGCACATATACAGGGTGTATACATTAGCTAAAGTAAGAGCCTTTATTCAAACAGATCAAACAACCAACTTCTTTTTTCACTTCCTCCTCCTTTCCTTTCAATCCATCCTACATTCTCTTTTTCACACTATCTTCCATCCCTCCTATCAAAATATCCTATGATCTCCCTTTCAAAATCCTTATTCATATCTTCTTTCAAAGCAACCTTCACCCATTTTAGACCATCTTCTACCTCTACCAAACTATCCTTCCATCTTTTTAAAAACATCCTATATCCTTCCATTTCATACCATTCTTCGAGCATTCCTCCTCCTCCATAATTACCCCTTGTGGAATACCCCTCATTAATATCAAAATATTGTCATGCAACATCCTTTTTACTTTCAAACCACCCTCTTTAAATAATCCTTTATCCAGTACTCTCCTTTTCCAACTCTTCTCTCAGAATATCATTCATTCATTCCTTTCAAACCATTTTCTTTCTTCTAAACCCACAACACTCCTCCCTTCAAATCATCTTTTATCCAGTACTCTCCTTTTCCAACTCTTCTCTCAAAATATTATTCATTCATTCCTTTCAAACCATTTTCTTTCTTCTATACCATCACCGCTCCTCCCTTCAAACAGTCTCTCATCCCTCCTCTCACACCATGGAGTCATGGACCTACTACAGTCTGACATTCTAGAAACTGACCCTTCAGATTTGTCACCATGGAAACCTTTTTTACGATCTCGGTTTCCTTGACCCAAAATCAAAATGAGAACTTCATATTGAATATGTATGACAGATTCTTGATGACTGACTAATCCCCCCTGTCAAATTAGATCAATAGACAGGGCAACCCTGAAGTAGTTCCAGCATAAAAGATTGAACTTCATACATACTTCACAATCACAATCTCTCTGGTTGAAGCATTGTAAATGAGATCTGATAAGAACTGTTCATTTCAAGTAGTGTAACCAGGGAGTCGTGAATTAAATCAAAATAATTTAATAATGTAATTCACAACTCCCTGCTGTAACCATGTAATCAAACACAGAACCTTAAGTTATTATCTTGTTATTTCTTTTTTCTTTTTATTGTTGTTGCTAAATCTGGTACAGGTACATTGTAGATGAAATCATTAATGGTTAATATTCATAATTATCATAATTGTTGGATATTGTATACAAAATTCAGCGTATACATCTACATGTACCTTGCTGTAATTATGTGGATCTAGACCTGGGGACTTTACTTATTAGAGAATTATAAAATTATTATCTTCTTTTTTTTTAAAGCTTATCTGCCGTAGTTTACAGGAGGGTTTAGACCGCTCTGCAAGGTCACTGGACATGTGGTTATCTCATCAACTCAGCTCTCAGTTAACATGAGAAAAAAAGGATCATGGGGGACCAATGGTCACCGATTCTGCATTGTTTGTTATATAGAGGGCGCAAGTAGCTACCAGTAGTGCAGTGGGCCTTTAAGGCTCATTTATCTAATTTTGTTCCTTTTCTTTTGAGGGAAGAGGGATCTTTCTACCTCGCAACAATGATAATTTTGACTTTGATGTAAACATTATGACCATGAATTACAATGCGCATAGCTTGTAATTTTGTGTTTTACGTGCTATTCACATCTTATCTCCTCCACCGACCAGCCCCCCCCCCCCCCCTCCCTTCCCCACCCCTCACAGGCATCCCCATATTAATTTATACGTCTGAAGAGTGCAAACTCCTCAATAATGACTTTGGGGGTTTTGTGGTTTTCCGCTGAAAGATGAGGGAACAATGAATGAATGAACACTGTATTGTCGGTCCACTGGCCCTGTAGACCGTAGATACAGTACATGGACAGTGTAACCTGGCTGCATGTGTATAGCCTATGCCAGCCTTCGTAAGCACGCAGGGGTGGACTGCAGATTATTCCAAGTCTAGCCTAGGCTGAAGTGAAGTAAAATACACAAAGATGTAAACTACATGTTGGGGACTGTAGGCCTACACATGCACTGTATTACTAGGTTGAAAAATGAAAAATGGGAACACAACTTTTAAAAGCCATCATTCTTTGTACATCTGATTTGTCTTCTGTCGATTGTTCATTTTTATTTTATTTTTATTTTTTGTTACGGGAGGGGTTTTGATGTTTTAGTAACATCTATAGATAGGAACAAATCTAATACCGGTACTTGTGATACATGCAGAGGTTCTTTTTCAAATTATTTTTTATTATGTTGACTTTTCCTAGAGATTTAGGCATATCAGGAGGAGGTGGAGGGATTCTCTCAGACTCGGCTTGTTTATTATTCTCTAATTTTTCTCTCACTTATTTTCAGAGAAAAAAAATATGTTCTAACAAATCACTAGGCCTTGATGTAAATTGTAAGCTCCTGCATGCAATGAGAACTGTATAGAGCTGGATAGAGCTGGATATACAATTATACAACAAGTCTGCCTCGATCGTTCAGCTCCCAATATTCTCATTCCCATGTATGTACTGTGCATGTAGCCTACCGGTATATGTAATAACACTATTAGGCCTGCATGATGGAACTACATCAGTAATCAGTCATTCAGAATATGATTACCTGTAGAGCTTCACAGAATGCCAGTGCATTAACAGCCTGTATGGTGAAGAAATGAGGGAAACCATAGACAATGAATACCACCCCCCCCCCCTCCTCTCCAAATAAGAAGACTGCAATTGTGGAAGGTCTCAATAATCATTACCCCCTTTTTAGTGCCTTTGTTCCCTTTAAATTGAATTTCAAAAGGTACTTCAGTGACATGTAGTTCTGGCAGAAAACAGATTTGCTGGCATTTCTTCTAAAATAAAATCGTGGACTACTGAATTCTTTCATTCACATGTAGATCGATCGACACTCTAAGACAACACCTACATGTACAGTAATTCAGTGTTTTTCAACCCTTTTCCAGTCTCAGCACCCTTTGCAGAAATAGAAAGTTTGGC